AGACTACCTAAGTTAAAATTGTTGTCATTATTTAATAGGAGCTTTATTAGAGATGTTACGTAATTGATGGACATTATGATATAGGCATTTCAAACAAGCTCATATTTTGTAAGAACAGAAACACAGGTTATGACTTGTAATGAAGAAAAATGAAACACATGACCTTGATTATAACCATTGATTTATTATGTGTTCCAAAACTGAAAATATCAACAAGCGGAATAAAAACTGCTGTCACTGCTCCATTGAACACGGTGAATAAAGATTAAAAAAAGGATTAAATTCTGTACTTCTTATTTTGGCTTGCACCCAATGAGAGAACATTTGTCTTCAACGGGATTTTGTGAGTGGGTTTGTTTATTGCGCTCTCTGATTTCGCAAGGAAAATTTGTCGGTGCGGCTAGATTCTTCTAACTTCGTGTGGGAGAAAAGTCGAAAGTGACAGGAGGACGGCAAACGACAGATTCAAGTTGAAAATTTCTCAAAACAGAAAATGAGCAGATAAAGACAGCTCAAAACAATTCTAATCTATTGGATAGAAAATTCCATGAAACTACTAACAAGTGTGTAAAATTAATGAACAGTAAACGACAAGTAAAGTGGAATTGGTCACGTGGTACAAATTTGCGTTGCCCGTTTGATGTAAACGTGATATGCTTAAACTCTCTTAAAACTTAATGGACTTCAGGGAGAACTAATGTCCCGGAATATCCCGACTCGCAAAGTTTTAACTTTGACTGAGAAGACGTTATCGCCTATTTTGTTTAGTTTGACTGCAGTGCTTGCAGTTTACTCATTTGATATGCGTAAGTTCAAAGTAGAATACCTTGGAAAGAAGGATCAGGGGTTTATTCTAATTAAGCCTTTCTACTTTTAAAGTGCACGTGGTTTCGAAAAAGGTTGCAGTGGTGTACATTAGCTTAACCTGACAGACTGCAAGCAAAAGTGACATATCCCTCTAAGAACCACAAGCGGAAGGCTTTAAAGAAAAAGCTAATTCAAGCTGCCTCTACTTAATGAATGTTTTAGGTCTCCTTCTATAACGTCCGAAAATCAGATGCACTTTTCTGAAAGTACACTATCAGCGTACCCTTTACTGACTGTTTCAAAGCCGCAGAAAGAATACTTCCTGAATGTTCTATTAAAGGGATTGCATACGGCAAGCGGACGCTTTCTAGACATAATCCACACTTGCCACGGGCCATTGCAAAAACAACCCTTAACATTTAATTGCCTTTCGCAAAGAAGTGACAGTTTTCTAAAGAATTATCATCACTGAACTGTTTAACAAGTTAAACCACGAAACAACGTGCGTATGCAAGCATTGAATGAAAAAAAGACGGGGCAGTTTCCAGGATCCATGTACTAGTTTTCGTCCTTTCAGCAAACGTAATACATTTGTGGGTGGGGATAAAGCCTTCTTAAACTCAGTACGTGGAATACTGCACGCAAATGAAAAGAATAGAATAAGCTTTCCTTTGCCAAGAGGGTCATATCTCATGTTTGACCGTCTAAGCTGCCCCAACTAGGGTAAGCAACTAGCATTTGGCAACAGACTTTAGATTATCGTTGCTCTCACAAATATCTATAATTACTGTTAATTATAGGAATATTTTAAAGGTGCTTTTGAAAGAGTTGCGCTCAAAATATTTTGACCAACTATTTTCAGATAGAGCCGTCTTGCACTGCACCCTGGGACCACAGCGGCACTCCTTTTACTGAGTTCCTGAAAGCGTGCCTCTATCAAAGCCGCTATTAAATTTACATATCATATGAAACCAATTAAAAGGCAAAGTGACAGTGTAATTCGAACAGTGTGCCCAGCTCCATAAGACAGCCAGTTTTCATTAATCTGAATGTAGTAATGAAATACTTGGCAGAAGTCAATGTTCACGAGTCCTTTTTTTGTTCTTGTTAATATGCAAGACATTGAATTCGCTCTTTTGAAGCAAAACATATGATTAAGCACACGTCTACTTAAAGTTACAATACCGTTAAAAGCCAAAGAAAAAGTTGTTTTTGAAGATGACTACCACAAAGTTTGTTGAAACGTCTGTTTAATGTCTCAACAGTGACCCTATTCAGGACAACACCCACCCAGACGATCACATTCCACCTACGTTTGAAATGACTCCTGGGCTCAAACATTATGCATCAGTCAATTCCACCAGCGCCCAGCTCCCCCCAGCCCCACCCGGGCTACTGCGGGGCATTTGCCCGCCTTGTCAGTCCCGGAGGTGGGGCATTAGCAAATTTTGCGCTGCCCGGGGGCTGGGCATTTGCCAACCCCCCGGCCAAACCCGTATGACTACACAGAGGATTTTACTGGAAAAACAAGCAGGTCGGCTCATTTTTCAAGGAGGGGAAAAAATTGAAGAGGTTTGTAAAGGCATGTTCTCGATTTTATGCATGCATATCTTCATTGCTTATCAAGCCAGAATTACATAGCGGAACTCGGGAGCTATCGACGTGAATCAATGTTTTTTTGGTTATTGAAGCAAGTTTCTCTTGATATTATTTGAAGAACATCCTTTCATATTTATAAAACTATTCATAGCAGTAAACTTTACAGCACACTATTAATTTTAAATATGTGAATAATTTTATAAGAATACTAAAATCATAAACTGGTGTCGTCACGGTGTGAAGTGTTAATTAGAATAGCGCTATTACAAAGGAAGACGTTAATTGAAGCAAAAATTCGCACATTAAAATGCTTAAAATCGCACTACTCGACTGTGCGATCAATGAAAAATTTTGCGGTGTTGACGGAGTTCGGGGCATTTGCCCTGTTTTTTCGTCCTCACCCCGGGGGATTTGACAGCTCAAGAGTCCCAACCCCCGGGAATTTGCCATCCAAGGCAAAAAAAAGTGCTAATGCCCGGGGGTCAGCCCGAAAGGAAATTGACTGCTGCATTAACTGTAAATGAAACAATTTCAAATTTGGATCATATTGCACTATCAGTGCCCAATCAGCTTGTTTTTAATTTTTGAGAGGATTTAGTATGCATGGCTGATTTGTCAAACATTTGGAAACGTTTGTACCGCTATAAAACAACCCATCCAGATGTCGACAGGTCATTTACATCTTGGTTCAGCAGCCAGATGGACATCAGAAAATTTGCACTTTTTGTCTTTCTCCTAAACCTGGGGATTCTCCCTCTAACTGTAAAAGGTATGCCACTCTTCTTTTCATCGTAGGCCGTTGCAATCTGTATTTGTACGTTCTTATACCTAACAAAAGGCAAATATTACCTTTTTGCCTTTAACATAATTAAAAATTCTTACAATTTCATCTCCTCAAAATTAATTCATCTCGGTCGGAGACTTTCTATTTTGTTAATTATTCTTTAAGGAAAATGTATGTACTGGTATTTAGACCTCATATAAATCTAGAAGGTCTAATAGTTTCTCTTATATTTTTGAATTTGGTAGTGTTTTATTTACAAATGCAAGTTTGGGGAACATAACAATCCCCTCCCTCTCGTTTAAGTGACTAACTCAGTGCTGGAGCTCGCGACTAGAGTACTAAGGTCAAAGTCACTTATCGATGCATTTTTTCCATCCCATTTATTGTGGCACTTTCTATACATCTCACGATCTCGAGAAAATGATTATATTACAAAGTTTCCGATGGATTAATTTGTTTTTTGCAACTCTGTTCTTCAAAATATAGTACAGTCTGTTCAGTCAGCGGGCTACAACTTGGATTGAAGGAAAACGAAATAAAATTGTAAACACAGACAGGTGATCGATTCTTGATAGGATATTTCATATCCTCGATCAGAAGACCTACAATTTGAAGATTTCAAATCTAGATTTTGCCAGTGGAGTGAGATCTTTGAAAATAAATTAAACGTGCCCCTTACACTCCACACCCAAATTCTGACGCAGCGCGAAAGTTTTAATCCATTTCAAACTTTCGCAGGCCATAGTGATATCTGGCAGTTCATCAACCAGCCTTTGACATTAAACGAGTTTTTATTCTTTGATTTTCCTATTTTCGAATCAGTCATTCCCGCACCTCTACCGATGTTCAGATTTCCTAATTCGTGCAGCACTGTTTTAATCCAATCAGAGATAACTGTCATTGCGGACTACCCTTTTGGAGCAAGGAACGGCGAGCTTACTCGATACATTGTGTGTGCGTGCGTAGCAAAACGGTAATCAGTCTATTAATCTACACATTTAGATTTGCTTTCAACAAGTGGAGTAACTGAACATGAACGAAAAAAAAAAAAAAAAAAAAAAAAAACGAGGGGAGACAAACTCGGACTCAAAACAAATCTGAGGAGTTATTACAGCAGCTATACTCCGAGATTGCCCTTTGGACCGCCGCGATCTTCCTTCATTTAAATATGTCCAAATTAAGTGAGAAACATTGAAACATGATGCTAAAAGCAAGCAAAAACAATATAAGGATTAGATGATATTAAAATTTGCAAAAAGATATTTATCTCCAACACGAGAATGCGCTTGTATCGAACTGATATGATATTCGCCAAGTTTGTTTAGTACAATTTCAGAAAACCATGTTGAGTAATTGAAATTAAAAATATCTGTATATATAGAATTATTGTTCCTGAATATTCTTCACATAACTACAAGGCAAATATTTTACACTTGGCCTGGAAATGTAAAGTGAAAAAACGCTAGGCTATGTTTTTTAAGCTCACATTTCGGTTCCCTACAACACCACAGGACACTTATTGCCTCCTAGACTTATGAACCGTAGGCCAAGTTATTTTTGCAGCGCTATTTAGCTGAAAAGAAAGTTCATAATATTCTCGCAAAAGAACAGCTTTTGCTGATACTTCTTTCAAACTGAACTTCACTAAATGAAGAAGAATTAATTTCCTATCTTCACATCTTAATAACACACGAAAGTTTGACTCCTCGCCTTTCAAATAAACACAGACACACCCCTAGCCTCTCTTTGTTCATTTTTTTTGAAGGAACACTCCGTCTCGTTCCATCCCATACCTACACAACATTGAGACATTTTTTTTTCCTATTTTACAGGCATTTCCTATCAGGTAGGCAAGCTAAACTCATCAGAGACACGCCAAGGATGGAATTGCAACAGCGGATGCAAGGCTCCAGAACATTGCACACTGCCACGCTGCACTAACGTGGTATTTCCACACACGTTTAGTGGATCTGGAACCGTAAGTAAAACCTAAGGAATTAAAAATTACCGTATTTCCCCCAATAATAGCCGCGAGCGACTGTTCGAGGGAGGCGATTATTTCAAATATTGCTCACTAGAAGTCGTTCCCTAAATATTTTGTTTTTTTTATCTATTAAATAATAATAGAAAAATAAACACATCAAATATACTAAGCATGGGTTTTATAAGTTTTCCAAATATGGTTCCTTGCATTGGCAGGAGCAATCCTGTTCCTTGATTATTTTTCAATGTTAATATCCTTTGCGTTAGAGCTTGAATCGTCACTGATCAGTTTTGCTGGATGAGATTCCACTTCAGCTTTTTTTGTTATCCAACGTGCCAATTTTTAACTTGGCGGGGAGAGGTTGAAAGAAAGAGAAGATAGCAAGAGGGGTGGGGGGTAGGGAGCGGTTATTTGAGGGGGCGATTAATCGAGGAACGGCTATTTTTCGAGGAAATACAGTAGTCTAATCTTAAGGGTTGGCGGCAACTTTCTTTTGCTAGCAGACCACAATAAGCGTCTTTAGAAACTAATGTTTTTTAACAAATTTTGATTTGCCAATTAAAAAAATGAGGCCTTTGTGACGTTATGACCTGAGACAGTTTAGTGCGCATAGGTATGTTTAAGTGCTCCCTAATCCCTCGGATGCGTGTGTTTTCAGAGAAAACAAAACAATACGAAGCAAAAATGCCAGAGAATTCTGACAATAAAAATAGGCTAGAAGACCTTTAACCCTTTGAATGAGGTAGGGAATGGAGGCGGGCGGGATGCGGTCGATTTGGAGTGGAATTAGACTCTTTTCTTTTCAGATTTAGTGAGAGAAGTGCACCCACACACGAGCGTGGAAGCCGCCAGAAGCGTGCGAGAAACGAGGACGGCAGTCTCGCCCTTTCAGTCACGCGCGTGGTCAGTTGCGTTTCTCGCATGTTTTGGTCGACGGATTAAGAAAAAAAGAGACTTCTCGTAGTCTAGGGTTGAATTGTTGCCTGCAAATTTTCATTGATGCTTATCTTTACCTAACGCATTTCAGGTTCGAGTCTTTGTGTCATTAAGCCACCAAGATCAGTCATCAGATGCAGTTCATTCACCTTCCGCCGTGTGGGCAGAGTCCATAAGTACAGCTGGATTTCAGTTATGCTCGCGTGCAACAGGCTCTACAAATGACACTGGCATTATCAACTGGGTAGCATTCCAGGACAAACCCATGTTAACGCATGGAAGCGTTACTTTTAGCGGAATATGGACAACAGAAACAAAGTGTGAGAAGGTGGCCTTTTCTCAGGTTAGACAACAATAATTGATAACAAGTATTTAATTTTGTTATAAAGGTGTAAAACGGACATAGCAAAGTACATTGCTAAAAGTCTTTTTAAGCTTTCTCTCGGGCTTAGTTTCAAACTTTTCCTTCCATCGCCTTTAGATAAGCCATTTTCATGTTTTACTTTGGAGGTAGTGATTGAATAATGCTTGACCGTTTTGAATGTATTGATGTGTTAAAGGTAATTTGGAAAATAAAAGTCTATTTTTTTAATGATATTAAACTTTTAGCATTAAACTTAACACAGTTGGCCGAAAAGGAACATTGTTGTTTGTAACTTTATTTAAGTAATGGGCCAAATAAGATGCATTCACCAATATTTTCAACACTTCGTAGAAAGAGGTGAAAAAGGGGTAGAATATTGAGTTAATGGGAATAAGACAAGTAGATTTAATTAATCTTCTCCCCTTAGCCTTTGATAAATCCTTAATTTCATTTAAGTGCCGCTAAGTACTTCATGGACACGTTCCTGCTGATTTATCTTTCGAGAAGCTTGTTTATTTTTCAATCTATAGTTTTTGATATATCTAACATTTTTTTGCAGAGCTTTGCTTCCAAGCCTCGTGTATTTGCCTCTGTTAAGTACACTCGCAGTACAAAGCCAAATGACGCTATGTACTTATGGTTAGAGAACGTCAACTCTGGAGGATTTGAAGTGTGCTTAAGGGAATTCTTGTCCTTTGATGGAAAACACCAAGATGCAGTTGTGGTAAGTGAAGAAAAATGTCCGAGAAACTATAGTATTGATGAAAACAAACAAACAAACAAAAAAACTTGACTTGCCACACTTCGGCAGCCCGGAAACCCAATTAACCAAAACGTTTTTGACGCAATTAAGGTCAGTGTCGTGTCTCACGTGTCTCATGCAGTCATTTCTTGTTAAAGGAAATGTGGTTCGAAACCTGACGCAACTCGTCTTGTAAAGAAAAGGGTAGCAAATTAAACATTATTTTCTTGTCCACAGGACTGGTTTGCATTCACTGGAAATGGGAGTCAACTTAATTTCACAATAATTGGGGAAGAAATCTTTCCAAACAGTGGCAATCCATCGGCCAAAAACAACTACGGCTTCTGTCAGGTGAAAACTTTAGTTCTAACAAGAACATTTAGCAAGCCAAAGAACACTGATTTTTTAGTGGTTAAGTTCACACTAAAGAAAACTTAAAATACAGTAAACCCAAGCTTACCAGGCCATGCTAATCGACATTGTATCCAAAATGGCAATTCCCAGATGAGCGCGACATGTTTATCTCGCGATTTTGATGTTCGCATATTTCACGATTCTTAAATTTCGTGACTTTGCGAGAATTTTATATTTCGAATCTCTTCAATTTCGCGTCGTAGACAGTGGGCGAATATTAGAAGTGGGGACTTTACAGAAGATGGGCAAAAATAGAGGGAGAGGTGAGCACGTTCAGATCCATTTACTAACTTACATGACTTTTTTTACCTATTTACAGGAAGTGCCTTTCAATACGACCTTTTACAAATCGCCAATTGTGATTCTTTCCGTAAATCATGAGTATAATCTTAAGGTCAAGGGAAGTCGTCTTCCAGAAAATAATATAATATCAGCCTGGCTAGAGGTAGGTTTGCTTTTTTATTCTAACCTGAGAAAACAGCCCGCCCGACATTTCGCGCGACGCCACCACTAGTTTTCCCACAAAATGAGGAAAACCCCGAAAACCCCGTTTCACGACGCAATTACTGGCTTTCCCGTGAAAAGACGTCTGTGGAACGAGTGTAGAAATTCCATACTGATGACGTGTACTTCCCAGATCAAGATAGTGCTTCTGATTGGTCATGCTGCAAAATAAATTTTCTTTAACCAATCAAAAGCACTGCATGCCCAGATCTGCGTAGTGACACATCATCAGTACGCAATTTCTGCGCTCGTTCCTCAGACGTCTTTTCACGGAAAAGCCAGTAATTGCGTCATGAAACGGGGTTTTCCTCACTGGGTTATATTCTTGATGGTCACTTGAGGTTAATGATAATGAACAGGGATTTTTTCAGTGCTTTGCTACATTATTCTATTCAATTGTTTGCTTGAACTCTCACGACACCTTTGAGACCCAAAAGCCCATATCCCTTGTTCAATCAGGGGAGAGAAGAAATCCGTTTATTCTAGTAAATTTGTAAAAGGACTGTGAAGACTGTGAAAAAGCCATAAGAAAACAATAATTTGGATCTGATCCATGAATTTCATGACTTAAAGGTATCGTCGTAGAAATCAAGAAGAAATTATGGATTTTCTAGTAACTGATGAGTGCTATCACATTTTGCTGTAGGAAGTTGGATTAGAATCTATGAAGGTCTGCGTTAAAGACCTCAGTGGATTAGGATCGAGTCATGATCCCTTGATTGTCAGCTACGCTGTTACTGGAGGTTATTTATAATTTTCCTATTGTAATGATCACTATTTCTCGTAAGAACTATTGTTATTTTTATTATCATTATTACTATTATTTTTATTGATACCTTTTAGAAGTTCTTATATGTAGGAATACATTTCATGACATAATTAAAGAAACACTGGAGTAAAAACACTGATATACCTTATTCATGTTACACTCTATCTTTGCACGAACTTTAAGACTGGTCATTGATGGGATAAGAGCAATTAGAGGGCACACAAGTTATAAAATTGCCAATACTAGTAATCGAGTAATCGCGGTCGGGTTTGTTTATTCCTCAAAAAAAAAAAAAAAAAAAAAAAGACGACCATTTTGTCACGCAAAATGCAAAATGTAAACTTTGACAAGTTCTACGTCACAATTCCTTGCTGTGAAGATTTCTACTGTCGCGTACTGTATTCAAAATCACTTCCACTCATATTTTGCCATTTTCGTTTTTAAGGTCAAAACGTCTTAATTTTCTATAGTGTAGATAAAGCAAACTCGACTGCAGTCTTGTATTTACTGATTTTATCTCTTGCTTGCCCCCTGAGAAACCACGTAACATTGCTTTAATTTATTCCATCAGTCCTTAAGCGCGTACAGAGATGGCGGGTATCGTTAATAAGGTCTACTAAGGATAAAAAAAAAGAACATTAGTTGAGGTACCTACAACCAAACATGTTACTACTACTGAACAGTAACTTAGTTTTAATTGAAATATGAAAAATATATTAGACATTTATGTTTTTTTCCAAATGGATAACTACTCAATATTATGTTTTTTCTTTCTTGGTACAGACCTTAATCCTTGCCTTAATGTGCATTGCCCACGATTTGGAGTCTGCAGGACCTACAGTCCGCATGACGCTCGCTGTGAGTGCGATGACCAATGCCCCTCATATAAAGATCCAGTGTGCACTGCAAACGGAACAACTTACGACAACCGATGCTGGCATAAGTTAAGCTATTGCAGAGGACTTGAAAATAATCTGGTTTATCACCCTGGAAGCTGTGAAGGTATAACGAAAAATAATTTCAACGATTTTGTTTTGGCTGTATTTGCCACATAAAATACTCTGGGAGTTAAGCTCTCGATGGCTTAGAATTATAGCTGTTAACGTTGGCTTAAAATTGATTGACTTCAAGCTATGATGTTTATGACTTTTCGTTACTTTTAAGCTCGCTTTTAGCTCCTCACGCAGGCTAAACAACAACAGACAGCTGTAACAAGCTACTTCGTCTCTCTGCTTTGGCAAACAAACATATAGCAGCCCAGACTATAGTCGATGTTTGATCTGTGTAAGATCTTTTATTCTCTTTTGTCTTGCAATTTAGTTTTTATCGCGTAAAATTAGTTTTTCACAAATTTGCTCGCGGCAAATATTGTGCAAAAAAGTGCAAAAGAGGAGGAAATCAAAGACAAAGGTAGTAAATATCGCATTTACATACCAGTTTACATAGAGTTGCATAATTGAGGGCAAATGCAGTATTTACTATCTTTGCCCTTGATTTCATCCTCTTTTGCACTTTTTTTGTACCTTATTAGCACTGAGTGAATTTGCTGAAAATCAAATATTTCCCGCACTGGCGCGGGCTCCCAATATACTGGCATATGTTTATCTTTATACTGGCATATGTTTATCTTGGGCACTGAAACCAGCACGCAATATTAAGCAGCCACTATACATTTCCTTGTTGAATGGTAGCCGACATTACAAGTTATAGCCTAGTTTTAGTTCCATTTCCACGCTTTTTTTATCACCACCCTTCTCCACTTAGAGTTGCACTACAACGCATGCTAGGGAAGCTACGTAAGCGATAATGCTTAAAGAGCACAGTGATGCTTCCTTATAAAGTAATTAATTTATTACAAAACAGGTTTTCCGATTGTTCGGGGCCGTGTAGATCTGCTACAGGTTCCAAAATGGTCAGATTCAAACTGTCAGACAGTCACATTTCCTCCATACCGGTTTTATCCGGATAAACAAGTTCATGTTCTAATAACCGTCAATCACATGAAGCTGAATGACTCTGTGACAGTCCACGACGCTGTTACTTCATGGACAGAAAGTATCAACACAAAAAACTTCACCGTCTGTGTCATGCAAACCGGGAGGAAAGAAGAAGGTGCGAATCCATTTGCCACCATTGATTGGGTGGCTTATCAAGGAGCACCACCCGAAGGCTTGACGGGAACGGTTGAGTTGCAGAAATGGTGGTCTGGTACCAACTGCGCAGATGTAACCTTTCCTACGGTGAGATGGGAATGTACATATTAAATTAAATAATTGATGCAAGTTCAATTGAGGTCTCCATGACGAATGTTAGACTTTCATTCATGTGACATCTTTAATCCATGTCTTGAAAAAAAAAAACAACAACAACAACAACAACACCAAAAACAGCAAAAAGCAAAACAAATAAATAGTAAATAATTGGAAAATTGAGTCTTGTGACCCTTAGCCTAAACATGACAGATTTAATCATGACTGGTCTGCGTAACAAAAGAAGAAAAACATCAAGAGCGAAACTGTGAAGGAGAGACCTCCTTAACATCCATTTCAACAAAATGAAGCGCTAATCTGATACAAAGAAGCAGCCTATAACAACAACAACAAAACAACAACAACAACAAAAAAAAAACACAAAATATTTGTTTATCTATTTGAATTAACTGAATGTGGAAAGACAAGAATTCACATCTTAAGTTAAAGAACATATTAAAACTTTCCTTGAACTAAAAGAATGAGACACAAAGTTAACAAAAAATAATCGATCATTACGAGGTAACTGGGGAGATGATTGCTAGATCCTCTAAAAAGTTGTGACCGACTTAGCGACTTAGTTAACAAGACAACATTAGGTAACAAGTAAGAATGGGAACGTACTTAGTGGTTAGTTTCAGGTAATTTTGCAGCTATATTTGAAAAAAAGCTGTTTTGATTGTTGTTATTGCTTTTTCTTCAGGGCAAGTTTGCCGAGGCGCCAATAGTCCTTGTGACGTCAGAGCACCTGAGGACTGGTAAAGAGTATGATGCTGCTCTCATTTGGATTGAAGACGTAACAAAGGACTCAGTTAAAGTCTGTCTTCGTGAAATGCAAAACTTTGACGGTAGACACCAAGACATCACTGTGGTACGTTCTTAGTCAGATTTTAAAAAACTGGAACGCGACTGTCCACAAAATTTGTGAGGAATGCTCGCCTGGTTTTGTTAAAAATAACAGCGTTAAGAGGAAAAAGCATTGTAATTAAAAATTGTCCGGTTGATCGCGAGTGATGATCAGTCAAACGAAAGGCAATGCAGAAAGAAAAACATAAAAAGAAACGGAAATAATAATAATAATAACAATAATAATACTAATGAATAATAATAATAATAATGACTAATAATAATAATAATAATAATAAGAAATGAATTGAATAGCATTACGGGCGGTGAATTTTAAATAGCACACAAATTGGTCTTCCTTCTCCCCATGTCTCCCTTCACGCTCTTACGTGATTCGCCTGATGTCTCAAAAAAATGTGGATTTGCATCCTTTTCTTGACTCTTTGCGCTCTTTGTTATGTCACAACTTCATAGAGTTCAAAATACTTAGATTCAAAGGGGCCTAAAAATGATGAGTTTATTTGAATTTTTTGTTGGTGTAATACGATTCTGTCACAAGACTATGGGTGGCATCACTTTTGTTTTTACCTCTTTTCACAGAACTGGTTTGCCTTCTCTAAACTGCACAAGCCTCTTTTCAGCGAACATGGTGTCATAAATTTTCCAAATACGAACCCACCTTTGGATAAAATGAACAATGCTTATTGCCAGGTGAGAAAAGAATTCTTTGCAAAAGCAGTGAGTAGCATGCTGTTCACAGCATTTTCCCTCACAGATATATCGCTTACTTACATCACTGTTTATATTTTCAAAACACTTTTAGTCATATACACTTTACGCAATAGAGATCAAAGTGACTAGAAAAGTAAAGAAGCTGGTCCACTAAACAATACTTTAAGACAAGAGGTCAAAAACTACAGACTGATAACGTCCCTCTTAACCATCGACAAAGTGTTTGAGCAACTGCACTGTAAACAGGTGACTGTGAAACTCGACCACATCTTTTCTAGCCTAAGCACTGCTTAGAGAAAGGGACACAGCTGTGAGACCACTCTACTACGTCTGAATGAGGACTGGAAGCTAGCAATAGACAGAAAAGAGCTAGTATGTATTCTATCGACTGATATGAGTAAAGCGTTTGACTCTCTCAGCCACTCGCCGACACTAACAAAGCTTGAAGCATACGGTTTTGAGTCCTCAGCGGTGGACCTCCTTTAACAACCGCCAAAATGTTCAACCCCCTGCTCTGGAACGTATTTCAGAATGACCTGCCCTGCTCCATAACTACCGCTAAACTTTCGATATATGTAGACGAGCACCAGTTGTACACCTCACGGACTAATTTTACAGCTGAAAGGGAAGCCTTAGAGCAGGAAGATCAACTTGCCGCGTCTTGGTATCGTGATAATGTTCTACTCACAAATCCTGACAAATTCCAGGCGATGATCCTTTATAATAGAGATATTGACATTGAAGGCTAATACACTGATATAAGCATAGATGGTAGGGTCATTACAAACACAGATTACATCAAACTACTTGGCGTCCACATTGATTGCAGTACGAACTTTAGTAATCATATTAGTGAACTGTGTAAGAAAGTCAGTAAGAAAGTAGGGATATCCTAATGCGCCTGCGCAATCTTGTTTCCTGCTCAGCTGTAAGTCTTCTATAAGTCTTCCATCCTGCCTTAATACCTTACCTACTGCCAGCTGGTATGGCACTTCTGCAAGGCCTCAGACAGCAGGAAAATAGAACGCCTTCAAGAACGTGCCTTAAAAACGGTATACAGAACTAAGTCTGCCTCTTACCAGACAATACTAAAATATCAGGACTAACCAAGTTGCAAAATCGTAGATTGCAGGATATAGCAATACTTTTGTACAAAGTTAAGAACAACCTCGCCCCTACCGACTTAGCAGAACTTTTCAATTTAAGTGATTCGAGGTATTCTCTGCGAAACAAGGACTTTCATTTACCTCCTAGATTCAATACTGTAACCTACGGCAAACATTCGTTTCGTTACTTTGGACCTTTACTATGGAAGAGACTAAACAACAAAGTCGAGTAATCACCTAGTCTTCAGTCTTTCAAAAACGCTATCAGATATTTAGATATTTCTGGTATTTTATTATTTTTTCATTATTAGCTTCGCCAAAAAAACAAACAAACAAGCAAACAAACAGAAAGAACATTGGGTCAAGATACTAATAAAAAAATAAAAGCAAGAAATATTAAAAAACACAGCGATACAAGAAAAACTACAGCTAGTATACTTACAACAAGTTATTGGACGAGACAAGGGACGAGCACTGTTACATTTTAAACAGAGAGACTTGAACGAACGTGGGTCTTCGCAATCATAAGAAACAGCTAACGCGGACTTATAGTAATTAAAAATAAACTATTTAAAGGAAGCTAAGGTCGATGAGCTCAAATCTAGTTCATCCACTAAAACAATTCCAAATTCGACAAGTTCTAGTGAGAAAAGATTTCTGTTACGTAGTAGTTTTACATTTCTTAATTATGTATTTATTAACATTGCTGGTTGACGATCTAGTGCGTCTACCGTATTTGCGAACTTCAGGTTAGGACAGAGGAGTTCACGTTCAAGACCGTGTGTCAATTTAAAAAAAAAAAAGGTTAGATCTAAAAGTTCATGCCTGTAACAAATAGGTATTAGGTTTAGAGTTTGGAAACGAGACTTAAAACTTATATTAGAAGAATAAGTCGTGCGTCTTTGGACACGCTCTAGCTTGACAATGAGCTCGATGGACTGCGGGGCCCAAATTTGGGTGGCGTATCCCAAATGTGGCCTGACTAGGGCTGGGTATAGCGTTCCTCTTACGTCGGTTCTAAGTATGAACCTCGTGTTCCTCTTTAAGTATAAATTCGTTTATTAGCACGCGAAGATTGTTCGTTTACTTGTTTGTACCATGTCAGATCCTTACTAATCCATACGCCCATATCTTTTTCTGCAACATATCACAAGTGCGGTGTTGTTGAGTTTGTAAGAGGATAAGATCGGCTTTGTTTTCCTTTTTATGTGGTGCGCCTTACACACTTAGCTTCGTTAAAAGAAGACCGGATGATTGAGACCAAGTTACAAGCTTACCAAGGTCTTTCTGGAGAGAAGAGACACCGCTCAAATTCTTAATCTCTCTGAATATTTTTGTGTCGTCAGCAAACATCATTACTCGACTACTAGAACTGATGACTTCAGGAAGGTCGTTGAAGTATAAGAGGAAGAGCCGGCTGGTTCAGAGGTAACAGGAAGATCCTCTGAAGCGGCGCCGAGTACCCGTAACGCGTTAGTGTCGACCTGACAGTTAAGAGCAGAACCAGTTAAGCAGGTTGCCACCCATACCGGCCTGGATTAGCTTATGGACGAAGCGCCTGGGACTGACTTTGTCGAAAGCTTTTGACATATCAAGGTAGATGGTGTCAACCTGGCCGCCACTATCTAAATTAGTGAACCAATGTGGCCAAAAGCCTCAAGCAAGTTGGTGACGCACGATCTTCCAGTACAAAAACCATGTTGTTTAGGTGAAATTACATGGTGCAGGTGGTCCTTGATGCTATTCAACACACAACGCTCAAAGACCTTGGACACTATTGGGAGTGGAGAGATGGGACGGTAATTTTCTACCCGGTCTTTTGCACCCTTTTTGTGGACATGCACGACGTTAGCTAGTTTCCAGTCCCTCGGGAGAGACCCTAGTTGAAGTGATTTGTTGAAGATCCTACATAAGGAACGAGCAATCACTGAGGCAGTCTCCTTGAGCAATTTAGCAGGGATTTCGTCCGCCCTGTGGCTTTACCGACTTCTAGTGCTTTGAATGCAGCTAGAATCGTGGACTCATTGAGAGTTAGATCGGATATAACAGTATCCAAACGTATGCACGCTGTCTTCTCCACTGCGCTGTCGATAGTAAATACAGAGGCAAAAAAACTGTTAAACAGGTCAGCTATTCCCGCAGGTGTATCAGCACTTACTCTTGAAGGGTTCTGTTACTGGTCAGCGGAGTAGTCTGGGACGGTTACCATGGAAACACGGCCTGGGATGGGATGAGATTTAGAGTTAAGCTTCAAATTGACCATAAGCGCTTGAGATTGAATCTAAAGCCAGTGTCTATGGAGTCGCAAAAGTGATCACGGCTTTAGCGAAGCAGTTTCTTAACTTGCGCCCGCAGAGACTTAGACTTATCCCTCAGGCGGGCGTTCGGATGTGACTTAAGTTTTTGGCGAACTGAGCTCTTTTTCTTGATAAGGTTTAAAATGTTACAATCTATCCAAGGAAGCGGGTTACGGCCTTTCAGTCTCTTCAATGCCACGAAGTCCTCGACAGCAGCTAGTAATAAGTCCGTCCAGCACCGCCCGTCATCATCTATATTGTTATGGCCCACAATAGAAGAGAGATTGATTGCCGAGAGAGCTTCACGCAAACCTTCAAAATCACCAATTGCGTACTCGTACACAATGATCCGTAAACACATCGGCTTTATCAGGTGAGAACACCTCGGTCACTTTGGTGTGTTCTGGGGCACTTGTTATCACTAGATCAAGAATGTTACTACCGCGAGTCGGTATGTGGTTAATTTGCGTCAAGAAGTGGTCATGTAAGGCCTCGATAAATGGCAGTTGGTTATCGCCTGAAGCGCTATCCACGGAGTCCCAGGAGATGTTCGGCAAGTTAATGTCACCACAAATTACCATATTTTGAAACTGATCGCAGACTTGATCTAGAAAGGTGTTAAATAAATATACTTACGTTCTAATTCGCTTCGCTCAAACGAACGTAAATCATTTTACCCTTAAATTCCCGTAATACAAACAAATCACACGAGAAATATGGTAGGATGCGCAAGCAGATCCAAAACAGTTTATTATAAGATAGATAGTTACTAATACAGAGCGGACTGCAGAAAAAAGAAATTACAAAGTAGTTGTTGTTGTTGTTTTACAATTTTTTTTTTTTTTTACACACTACTGTTTAGAGAAATAAATATAAGCTCGATAATGCATTACAAACCTAAATACTTAGTTACTTGTAACCTGTTTTCAAGGCTTTCTTCAACATACATATCCTTGGCAGAATCAGATTTCCATCTACCATGTATTTTAAGAAGTTTTTCTGGAATCGAGTTACTACTATTACGCACCGCAGAAGTAATACCACCGGATCTTAAACTATGAAGACCATAATCATTAGGGTTGAGGCCCAGATGACTTAAGGTATCCCTTAAGATATCTCTACAAGTAGTATAAGAAATCTTTCCACTTCTCAGAGTATAGCTAGAACTACTACGGTGAAAAACAAGCGGTCTAAATAAAGGGAGAGAACTACATAAGTCAATACCAGATAAATCTAAATACCGTTGTAAAACACCAACAGGACAGTACTTAGACCTGGATGCACTAATAAAGACGAAATTCCCTTCCCTATAAACATCTGTCTTACTACGAGGTACAAAGATTCTTATATAATCGCTGTGAAATTCGATATGCTTAGGAACAATATTGCATAATTCGTCGTAACGAAAAAATCCTGCAAAAGCTAAAGAGCATAACGCAGCGATACGAAGATTCTTCAAATTAGCATCTTTCTTGTTATGAATATCTAAAATACTCCTTATGATTTCTGTGGTAATAGGCTTCTTTTTCATTACTGGCTGTGATTTCTGGCGTTTAGCAGATTCGATAATATTCCTGCAAAATTCACTATCCAAAGGATTACGATCCAAACTAGGGACAAAAGAATGTAACCATTTAAGGGCAGATGCAGCATGGGCTAAAATTACTGAGGAACTAGAGGTGCAAGACTGCTGAACTTCAAATAAATATAGGGAAACGACACTAAGGGGAAAAGGTAACTGCATGTTGAAATGTCTACCTTTAGACCACTCCAAGAACTTTCTAATAACGCGAACGTAGGCTTTAGTAGTTGTATCCGCCCTGGACTTCAACATAACTTCTAAAACCTCATAAACGTTGATTGAAGAAAATTGTTGAAAGCCTTTCCAGGAATTACTTGATAAGATTACCTGGAAAGACAAGAACAAACATATATAATAAAAGAACAAAAAAAGAGCCGTATAAAAATCGATCAATGTTGGGGCCAGTGCCACATAAAACGGTAGACTATTGAATGGACCAGTGTCCCGTAAATCAAAAACCATTGATTGGGCCAGCGCCACGTAAATCAACTATACGCTGTTAAAGACAGCGCCACATGAAATTAAATGACAAACTATAAATTAGGCCAGTGCCACATAGATAAACAACATATTGCTTTGGCCAGCGCCACCAAATATGAATAATCATTAGGCTAATGGACACACCATCCAATAAATTACTCAGTAAATTTCAATCTAAAGGCAATAATATTTCCTGTGAAAAGATCAGACCCTAAGAGCGAATTAAGGTTTCTTCCGCGGGTTAGAACCTCATTCCCGATATGAATACTGTGAGCCACAAGATAACTACTATACTTGTGTGTAATTAAAGGCCAAAGAGGTACAACGAGCGTACCAACGGCCCGCTGAGATTTCAAATAATGCAATACACGTGGGACGATACCAACTGGAGGGACTACTAGGCAATTTTCTCCTCGAAGAGACTGAATGAAAAAATCAACACCCGAAGTGTTGGGGTTCCAAAACCTCGAAAAATATTTGGGGAGCTTGTGATTATAATAATTAGCAAAACAATCAACACTATGCGGGCCCCACCGACCATCAAGAAAAAGAAAAAATTCTTCAGTAATTTGCCAATCATCAGTATCAACTGAACGACTTATATAATCAGCTTGCTGATTCGAAGTGCGAGGGATCCATTGCACTTCTAAATGAATCCCCGATCGAATACAAATATCAAAAATCCTTCGGGCCATCTTATGCAAACCTAATTTCATGCTGCCCACTTCAACAATCTTAGCAGCTGCTTGGCTATCAGTAAACCACTTAACGTGTGATCCTTTCAACACTGAGGCAAATGATTGCAATGAAAACTCAATAACAGACAACTCCCTCCACGTAGAACTTTGAACTCTCTCCTTCTCCGACCACATTTTGTGGCACACAAAATCATTGTTAAAGTCAATAATTGCTCCACCTCCGGTAGCACTGGCATCCGAATATACAAAATAACTAGGATCTTTACTTACAAAGCAATACCTAGAGTTGATATTAACCATATTTTCCTTCCAAAAATACAGTTCTTCCTTACAGTAATCGTCGAGACGGAATACAGAATCCCAGTTATCTTTGCACAAGGTGGACAAGACACAATGCCTGGTCATTATCCTGCCAATGTTACCAACTACAGGCCCGGTAGAAATAATTTGACCTGTGAAGGAGGCCAACTCTCGCGCAGACACTTTGAAATCGGCTTCAATAATATGATCAATTGTACTGACAATCTTAAGAATTCTTCTCTCTACAATTTTTAAAGTACCCAGTGCAGAATTCCAGGTTATACCCAACCAGTCCAATACTTGGGTGGGTTCCCATACCGATTTGTCTTCGTTAACGACAAAACCCGCGTTATACAAATCCCCCCTTACAGCTAGGGCCTTAATGCGACAACTTTCTCTATCCTGAACAATCGCCCAACCATCGTCCAAGAAGATGGCTATACAAAGACCCTGTATTCTCCAATACTTTTCTAAAGGCTTCAAAACCTTTGTGAAAACATAAGGGGCAGAGGAAAGACCGAACGGGAGCACAGTGAAAACATAAAATACTTCATTAACGGAATCAGACGACCGCCATGAAAACCCCAGAAAAGTTTGGTGCTCATGCGCAATGTCGATATGGTGATAACCACTTTTTAAATCAAAGGAAAACATGTGCGCGTCTTTCGCAAAATAAGCCATAGCAATTTTCCAGTCCTCGTACTTAACACTTTGCTTAATTAATGACTTATTGACATGGCGCAAATCAAGAATTAACCTCTTTTTACCGCATGGCTGTATAGAAACTGACAAGGGATTTACAACAAAGGGCTGCTCATTAACGATACGCACCCGACCAGAGTTAACAAGCTCAAGAACGGCTTGGTCCACAAAATCAGCATGAAGTCGAGCTGACTTATTATTTCCTAGCTTTACGGCCAACGGAAAACTGATGAACGGCAGCCTGTAGCCGTTTTCAATAATAGACAAAATAAAATCCGGAGCACCTATAGATCTCCAGAAACCTAAATTGTTCTTCAGATTACCCTTAACACTTAATGAATGTCCACTTTCAAGTTCGCAATTCTGTGTAATTTGATCTACCTGCGCCAAGTCATCTTCATTGCTTTGGTTGAGTTGATTGGCCTGCGGTTGGCTTGTTGTAGGAGATTCCAGGGCAAGAATTGTAGCTAGGGGACTGGTAACTTCCCGGCCAGCACATGGATCTACAGTCCTTGGCCCAGTGTCCAAATTTGCCGCATTTGAAACAGCGAAAGAAGTCGCCAGAAGCGTCTCTACGGCCTGAAAGATAACAGCAATGACGAAACCTGTAATAAACGGGAGGGGGGGGGCGTAGACCAGAAAGATGAATAAACTGTATGGAACCGCGAGCGTGAATGGTACTCAAGAGACAACGGAGAGTATAAATACTAATAACTAGCCAATCAGGACATCAATGCAAAACAGAATGCACAATAGTGGGTGCGGCAGGTGTGAAACGAGAACAACTGCGACTAATTACTTGGAATAACAGCGGAAAATACATCCAACTAGGGTCTGAATCCGGAGGCCTGTGACAGGAACAGAATAATAATGTAATCTTCGGATCAAATTTAGAAGAAAATAACTGTGACTGTTGTGACCTTTGCAGATCCTAATTTTATGATTTTAAGATTTTTAAGATTTTAATATGTATTATCATGAATTGCTATGTATTTTAGATTAGTGTGCCCAATTAGAATATATCATTATAATTAGCATTATCATAGATTATTATTATTATTATTATTATGTAATTTTAGATAAGTGTCCCCAATTAGCCATATACGTTTGATACTTAAATAAAGTTCTTATATCTTATTATGTTGTTATATCAGACATATCAAGACATCAAAATGGCAGTTTGTTCTGTTAAAATGATTAATCACAAATATTGCTTGTTCAATTGGGACTTCAAAAATAAACACATTGACGGGAACCGAAGCTTTCAGTGATTAAGGAACAGTGTTAAACGTTTTACGTTTCTCTTCCATGGCAGTTCGTTTCATTCACGAGAGCTTATAACTCGACTCCGACAGTTCTCCTCTCAGCCAATCACAGCACGACGGCATCTGGGAATTCAGCACCAAATCACAACGGAATTACAACTTGGATCGAGGTAAAAATTTTCCGTAATTGGGGAGGATTGTGGGTATGTATCGGGACAAACAAATTTCAAACCAACACTAGACGAAAGATATAACTGAACAGAGACACACGGTTGCTTGAGGCGATGTATAGGTCGATAATAGGTGTGGCGCAAAAATGTACCGAGTGAAGTTGAGATTGCTTATCGGCTTCCTTTTGACGTTAATTATCGAATACGATTATGGTGTCGGTACAAATAATAATATCTTTAAATTATCAGCAGGGGCCGCGCGGTGGTCTCGAACTTCAGATCTGATTGTGCGGTTTTAAACGTTACTTTAAAGCTCTTTCCTTGGACACGAAACTTTGCTCCAATCATTTGGCTGCTTTCTTCATCAACAGGGATATTTAGCTCCGTCCTTCTGGGCCTCATAGCTCATTTGTGCCACAGCCGTGCCCCTTATTAGGGTAAAAAGGATATTTTGGATAAAATTTCGAGCATTAATTCACCGTATATTTTTTTTATACCTTTCTTTAATTACTTTCATCAAACCACAGTGTTAATTCACGGCGAATCTTCGCATCTCTATGTTACATAAGAAGACGTAGGGGAACGTTTTAAAAATATTCTGGTATTCTCTTCCTTTTAATTCAGTTGTTTATGACTACAATTTTAGCTGTACTAAACTACGCTGAGTGTTTATTATCTTTTTTTTCAGAACATGAATACCTCTGGATTCAGAGCCTGTGTCAAGGAATTATACGGGACCAGATATGACCCCTTGTCCGTCGGTTATGCCGTGCTCACAGGTCTGTAATATTACTGAGTTCATTTATGAAGTAGTTTTTAGCAAATGAAAAAAGAAACGTTATTTGTTACCGGATTCATCTGGAAATACTTTGGAAATGCCCTAAACTAATAACACAATGCAAGTTGATGGTTTTGCAGGTTATGGCGTAGTCAAGAGAGTGTACCTGTTGACATAAAAAAGATTCTTGAAATTCTTTCAAGTTATAATTTTCCTACCCCTCGAACAATTTCACCGTTTAATTAAAAGTTTCCTTAAAGGATAAATAACGTAGCCTCCCCGCAGACGTCCTTTGGGGTTCGTTTGTCACGCATTCATGCGTGACAAACGAACCCCAAACTGACGTCTGCGGGGAGGCTATAAATAACGAGGATGAAAGACCTTGCTAGAAATTAAAAGCATCATGCTTAAAACAATCGTTTGAATAGTTCGATATATTTTATATCTATGCGAGTGGTATATCCCTATCGCTAGCCTTCTGTCCAATAATATCTTACTAGTACCTTGAAACCATTAAGCTTTGGAAAACATTTTCGCATCTCGCTCCTAACAGTACTGCGAGTGAGATGCTGCTAAGGATTTATCAATCCGGCAGTTTATTTGAATGTATATATTTTTGACGCTTACGTTTATCTGTATTTCGCAGACATCTGTGAACCTGGCTGGAACTATTTCAACGGCTTTTGCTATTTCACAAGTAAGACTTGTCAAAATTGGACCACAGCACTGGATAAATGCCGACAAGAAAACTCGGTTCTTGTTGATGTCCAAAATAACGAAGAAAATGTGTTTTTACAGCATCTACACAATGGAGCAAAATCCTGGCTGGGATTGAATGATATTTTCACAGAGGGCTCCTTTACTTGGGCAGATCGTGGCCTGTGACTGGGAACTTTACAACTTGGGCTAAAAACCAACCGAACAATTTTCGGGATGAAGACTGTGTGCATACACTTGGTGTTGAATATAAATATGAATGGAATGACGTGAAATGCAGTGACTGTCATCAGTATACTTGTAAGAAAGGTAAGATGTGATGTATAAGTTTAGGAATGCACAAGAAGAAGGACTGAGTTCAAGCTGAATGAATAAATGGCAGCATCATGAAGCGTATGATATTATTAGAAATCTATATTTCATACCACCAAATAACGTGAAATGGAAAGAATGTACTTGTAAGGATTTTCCTTTGAAAGTGGTAGAAGGTATAGAGGTGAGGGATTTGTAAATTCACAAAGGAAAAGCCCTTAACGAGGTTAAAAACAGACACAATTGATATTAAAAACTTCAATGAAATCAGTTGTTGTTTTTAATTTACGTCCCCCTAACAAATCGTATTTTGATGTGTTAATCGTGATAAATAGTTTGTTTTTATTTTGGATAGATCTCAATGAATGCAGTAGGGACAAGTATTACTGCCATCAGGTCGCCAGCTGCAAAAATTATCGTGGTTCATTTACTTGCACTTGTGATCAAGGCTACTTTGGAGACGGCTTTGAGTGCGAGCTCAATTACGCAAGTATGATCAGATACAAAATTGCAGCGCTGCATATTAATGATGAACAGCAAGTTGATTTACAGTAATCTATTCTCACTGGAGCCATCAGCAAACAATTCCCGTGATCCCAATAATATAGGGGAGACCTAGCCGGAGACGGTAGGAGCGGGGAGCTCCTGGTAAAGAGATAGTTCATCAATGCGGAGAAATGGGTGGGGCGTGTAAAGAAATGTACGAAACACTGAAAAGACTGAGCAGGCTATTAATTGCGAAGAGAAACTAGCGTTATACATAGGTATAGGATAACCACGAGCTATACGCGGCGTGTTAGTATCACGCTCTTTTATTGCGGAGTTCTTATGTTTTCAATGGCCATCATTCAGTAGCTTCTACTGCAACGTCTTAATTTTCGAGTGTCTTTTTATGATTTCCCATTCTAAATGACACGCTATGGAGAAGAGTAGCTGCGCAGGCGACATGGTATCCTCCTCCTTCTTACGAGTCTGAAGTTTGCAGTTTAATTCGGTGGCCTGGTTAATATTTTGCATATTCGGTAGCATGCGTAGCAGGCACTTGGAAGTAGTGGGCGAAAGAGAGAACGGCCGCGCGCGCTCGAGGGAGACACGCTTGCGTGCCCGTTACTTCCAACGCCTGCAACGCAGGCTACATATTCAGCCTTATTATTACCCCTAGTTTTAAACTCTTGCTGTGAGGAAAGGCATTCGAAACTAAAATTGATAATTTTGCCTCGCAAGGTAAGAATCCGATTCGCATTGAAAAAGAATTTTTAAATTCCCGGGTCCGTTCGAGGCCACCAACTCAGGGTCTTTAACTGCCGCTGACTGAGAGGCTAAATTGTTTCCTTGGAAAAGGCATCTACAAAAGGTTAAAATTTTTAGTCTTCTCAGACAAGGACGATAAACCGTAGGCCCCGTCTCCTAACCGCTTTAAAGAACTCATGCTCTGTTCGTAAAGAGTAGGGGACGCATTCTCCGGTGCTGTGGTCTATCTCCCAAGGTGGGCGGGACTGTTATGGGTCCTCGGTGATAAGCACCACGCCCTGTTGCGGTAACCCTGCCAAGAATTGGTGAACCTAAGTAAGTAAATTAGTAATAACTTTGTCTCTACTTTTTGTAAGGGGTTTGAAACAGTCTGCTATTGTGGGGAATGATGCTAACTACTTGCAATATTTAAGCTCCTGGCTCAAACCAGTTGCTCAGAGCAAATCTTCACGATGGAAGCGTTGTTGGCGGGCGTCCGTGGATGGCTGGGCTGCCAGTACTTTTCACAGCCGATGTGACAACAAAGGACCAACTGTAACAATCATAAGAGTCGGCGGAAAATACATTTTTGGAGGTTACACCAGCCTCTCATGGGGTAAGTGGTTTGGTTTTTCTAAAACTGGGTATTATTAGCAAGTAAAATTGTCCAAGGAAGTATTTGAAGTAGAAAATAATATTACCACGAAGAAGACTAAAAAAAGGTGCATTCACGTAATTTTGTCACCCTTATCCCATTTCGGTCAATTCGCCAAATGGAGGTGAATTATTCTGGGTTGAAATTTGAAAAATCTCTACCAAATATTAGACAAAGAAAATCGTTGTCTTGTGTACACGTACCCCATAAAACTAAAATTAGGACGTTTGATATCGTATTCGAGCTGCGAATTTGCCGACAATTAAATTCTGTGCTGGCGCATTTTCTTTTCAGAGTTGTTCCTCTCTAAAGTGTTTTTCAGGCAAAGTATTCCGCACTAATGTCTCAAGTGCCGCTGTAATTAAAAGACCAGTAATAAAAAATAACTAGAAGGCGAGTGTGAATTGATCAAGGCTTAGCTTCCTTTTCCTGCCTTAAGACTAACATGAAAACTGTATGTAAATAGTGCAAGTTAGATGGGGAAATTTACCACTTCTAATCAAGTCTTGTTATAGTTCACCAAAAAAATTAAACAGATCTAGAGAGAGTATTTTGATCAAAGCTACGTATACTGATATCAACCTGAGTAATAGCATGGAATCCTGGTTTCATCTCACCTATTATGTGACTTTGACGTGTAGTTCAATGATCCCACATTAGTTCATTGAGCGTAAACTACGCGTCGCTGCGGGAAAAATAATCACAAATACGTTAGATTTTTTTGATATGAATGTGTAGCGTTATTAGATTAAGTGGTAAATACTCATTTAGCAACGATCCAAGAACTATATTGAGAAATAGCTATGGTACACTCATGTTATAAAGTATTAGTGAGCTCACTAAATATAAACAGGAACATAGACTGATGGTAAGTTAAAAGTTATAGTCTGCTCAAATTAGGTCTGTCATTAGGAAATCTTAACAAGAAGGATATTTATAAGCTAAAGATAGAGGACCCTTTTGCCAAAGAATTTGCAGAAATTTGGTCTGACACTTCCTTTGAGGGGAGAATAGTATTAAAATATCATTTTCTCATCTCTACCTTTGTTGCAAAATTCATTAATATTCCGCACCTGAGTTTTCTGCAATGATTGACCTACCATCAATAACACAAAAAGTTAAACATCTAATGGACGATAATTCTCTCAACTTCTTTTCCCTCGACCATTTTCAGAATAGATATGATATTTGAGTAATACCCTTAATGTTTTTCGGAATAGTCTCAGCCGTGAAATCTTTGCAACGACAAATCCCAGGAACACACCAGCAGCATGACAGTTCTTTCAACACATTTTTCAATTGCCAAAATTCATCTAGAATTGTTTTCAAACAACAAATGGTATAAAGACATCTGCTCTTCAACCGGTAAAAATGTTAACTCGAGAAACGTTTTTCAAGCAGCAAACACTTGTACAACGATCTGAAAACTAATTAACTTTAATTTCAGATTTTTACATAGACGTTTACCAACTAACAGCTATCTACAAAAATAGGAGTTAGAGAGGACGGAAAGTGTACTTTTTGCCGCGACGAGAAAGAGGATTTGACGCATCTGTTTTGGAAATGCCAAAATGGCTTCAGTCGTGCCAGATCCTCCAACCAGACAATTACTTAGACATGACCACCGTTTCGATCCTTACTCCAGACAGCTCATCCTTTAAGCTCCATATAATTTTATGTTGCCTTTTAGCTAAAACCTTTATCTGGATATGCAGATTGAAGGAATGTTATTCAAATGACAACAACTTCCTACTTTATCTGAGACATATACCAATTAGAAAATAACACACCAAGCAATATATATGTATATATATCTGTCTGGATTTGCAAAAAACATGGCTGCAGAAATCTCTCTTCTATACCCTCTGACTGAGTCTTGTAGTGCAGCATTTTTTTTTTTTTATAGCTACTTGTTATTTATTCAATCGGTACCGGAGAGGCCACAGTAGATAGACTTTCATGAGTTTCTCACTGGCTATTAAGAGCAGTTGTCTGTAAGATTCGAACTATATTGAAAAGTCGCTGCTACACTATCTCACCGAATTGGCTAAAAACTGGCATGTAGACTTGATGATTTGGGGTCTTTAATAAGGAATAGGTAACTTTAGGTTCTAATTTCTTCCTTTGGACCGGCGCCATATTGGTTAATAGAAGATGTTTTTGTGCCGTCGACTACAACCCTGTCCTCAAAGCTAATCTTCCTTTGCCGATACACGTTGAAAGAACTATCCCTCTTTATTGTATTTTTAGAAACTACTTCGAAATTGATAACGTTTTCGCAACGATCGATTAAACTTTTGGTGGGTATACTTTTTGAAATTTTTACACCTGTAAAATTAACAGAAATTCAAAGGCGTATATCTCTCTTGCCACATCGCATTGAAGCTTGCCACTCTGCCTGAATACTCATTGTTTGTAGTTAAATCGAGTTCGTTATTTAAAAAAGGGCAAATTTAATGGAGCGGAAACAAAAGTTATGAATGAAAGAGTGTTCTAGCGACTTTATCAATAAGCTTTACACCGAATACTCGCCAGGTGTTGCCAACATGACGGGCTTTGCTCACCAAAAAAAATTATGCAAATTAGGCTAAGGGTAGATTGAATCTACCCATGGCTTATGATTAACTGAAACGGGAGATCACAATTCGCGCCTTCATATGACTGAGGTGTTACTTTGGAATCCTCGGTAATTACTTTTTTCGCACTTGCCGACATCCAAAAACACCCGGCGTGGGAATCACGAGACGTGTAAATAAGACATTTCTTGACATAATAAAAAGGTTTTCCAGATACGGACGCGCATTTGTTGGCTTTACTCGCGTGGAGACACACGTCAACTGTTACTTCTCACGCGAAATAGTATTCAAGGCATGGCTCTACTATAAAAAAAACCCCGCTCCTTATTGATCGCACAACCATAATCATAAAAGGCGATAGCAAGAAAAATAACTATCACTCGAATGGGATAATCGAAGATCAAGAACCAAACCTCAAGAGAGCGGGGTTTATATCTGTTACTAAAGCGAAAATGGAAATGAAACATAAACCCTTTGCCGACTCAGAAAATATTACGAGAAGCTAAAGTTTACCACCCGAGAAACATTTTAATGACGGCCTATAATCTATTCTTACAGGAGGAAAGAAACTATTTGCAATTATGTCGATCGAACAGTATACTATCTTCTGTCTATTACTGTGTAGTCGGCAGGAACATTACACAAAACGGCTTCAGCAACGAGGTTCGATGTGATAAATTAAGTACATTTACGTACCTGTGATAGATTAATGTTTACTCACTGAGAATGATTTAATCCCAGAGAAACTACGATTCCCGAAACAGGAACATTTGGAATTCTTGGACATCAGTAACTACAACCGACTTATAACAGCTTCATTTTAATAGCGACTTGATTCTGAAATAATATACCGTGAGATTTAACGCAAAGCTCATAGGGCATGGCGAAGGGAAGGCAACCAGAGGGTTTTAAGTAATCTGGTGGCCCAATCTTTTCTCCGGCACTAGCCACGGGAAGTTAACCTTAAGATTCTCTTTTGCTAAAGTAATGCTTTGATTTATTTAACGTACGATAATTGACTCGGTTGTGTTTTACAAACACATTTTTTTGTAACCCAAGCTTCGTAATTAAGCCAGAGAAGGGAAATTTTTGTCGTCGATTTTCATTGACAAAATCATTTGTAAAAACTAATAGGCATGTGAGTGTTACAACTTTTCATTTGACGTTTTACAGTACGGATAGCTCGGTAACAAGCGGCAAGATAATTTCATTTTTACATACATATAGTAGCATCGTTTGAAATTAATGAATAATACTAATAATAAAAACGTTTTGATGGTGTTATCATGATTTTGGTTAAAACAATTTTGTCACACTGTGTCGCTGAAAGTTTATCTCAGTACCCAAGCAATACTTGTAACTAAAGTAAATTCTATGTGAATTTCTGAAAGAAAACTAAAGCAAATCAGTGCACACTCCATCACTTGCTGCAAATTATAACCCTGTATCGAAGAAAAATAATTTTAAATCACTCAATAATGATGTTGATAATAATAGCAATAACAATAATAATAATAATCCGTCATCAGGTAACAATAGCCCATAAATGAACTGGCCACCCAAGAGAAACAGAACCAGTTAGTACAAAATGAAAATGATGAAAATTAGGTCCTGTAATCAGATAACAACAGCCCATAAATGAACTGACTACCCAAGAGAAACAGAACCAGTTAGTACAAAATGAAAATGATGAAAATTAGGTCCTGTCATCAGATAACAACAGTCCACAAATGAACTGACTACCCAAGAGAAACAGAACCAGTTAGTACAAAATGAAAATGATGAAAATTAGGTCCTGTCATCAGATAACAACAGTCCACAAATGAACTGACTACCCAAGAGAAACAGAACCAGTTAGTACAAAATAATAATGATAACAATTAGATTTTGCCATTAGATAACAAAAGCCCATAAATAAACTGACTACCCAAGAGAAACAGAATAATAAAGCTAAATGTTTTCTTTAAATTGAAGTGACCAGAAAACAGAAATACCTCACTGTATTGGGAATAACTTGACTAAAAACAAACTTACCTCAAGTCTAATATCACTAATATGTAACTTAAGTCCGTTTTAGTCTGACCTCTACCTTAAAGGAAAACAGAATTTACAAGGCCATCCGGTGGAATGCTTTTCTGGCGAAGAAGACCAGTAATCAAACGAACGTGGAAGCGACGTACACAGTAGCTGGCATCATGTTGAATTCCACTACGGCATAGGCCGATTTGGCGGGTTCAAGTTCCCGCGTTGCCACGTTTTTCGTCAGGAAATCTCCTAAATATTTCATTTTTGGAGAAACCCGTCGGACGGACTCCACATATTTCTTCTTTGAGTGCATGCCAATGCTTTTGGGGGTTGTAACCCTCGACAGACTCGAAATGGGAAACGAAGACTCATACCGTCGACGGTCGCCTTCACTTCAAATGGTTTCGAAATCAAAACCACAGCGCTTTTGAACTTTGAAAGTCTAAGGTAGAATATTAATTAATTAGTAAGAATTTAACTCGTTTACATCGCATGATCGCTGCCTGACCCTCAAAAACAAAAAAAATCGTACATGTACGCTGCCGTCCATTCATTTGAGCGGCACTGGAAGCAAGTTTTTGCAGCGATTTGTCGCACACGTCACGTCATGTCTCAAGAGGGATTTTCTGACTCCGGCACTCGAGCATTTAATATTTCCACATGAAATATAGGTCGCTCCTTCAAAAATTTTATCAAAGTGACAAAGGAAACATAAAATGCTTTAACGTAATGTCTTTTAAGCCTGGCGTGCCCCGTCCAAATCACCGGCAGTCCGATCTGGATTTGTTTATCGGTTTTACAGACCAACAGTAAGTCTAAATTCATGTAAATTACTTTCTACGGGTAGATGAAGCGAGCTTTTATTTTTAAGAAGATACATTTCGAATGATCAAAATCTTTTTCATTTTAAACAGAAAGGTCACGCCGCAAAAAAACCGTTGCGTGGGATGCTGGCTCCTCGCCTTGCCTCGCGCTCAAATGACGTGTCTCTCGCGGATACTTGGCATCTGGTTTACTTATTATGTTCCGGTCTTAATTAATTTTATGACACCAAGCAAACACCTTTCTATCGCGTACCAGGGCATCAATTTCCGGCGCCTGCTGAGATTTTTTTTCTTGAGCAAAGCTCCTCATGTTACAATCGATAATAGAAATTCTGTCACTAAATCTGAGTGGTCTATATAATAAAATTAGCCTCTGTAATATCAGCCATAGCTCTGCTGCGAAAAACAGTAGAAAAAGGCAGATTGTATAAGGAAAAGGAAAATGAATTTGTTATATTTATGCTACGACGCGTAAATAAAATGCAACCATAACAGTCCAACTGGAATTTCTCTAATTTTCCTCCAGTTCCTTTATCGAAACCAGAGCTTTTAAAATTCACCATAATAATGAAAATGGAAATGCATTGCCTTACTTGACGACAAAGATGCCAATTTCCACCTTGATCGAAAAAAAAGTAATATTTCCCCACGCATATCGCGGGGCGATCGTCACTTTCCTTGCATGGCGTTACAATTCACGTGAAACCGCCTGGTTTCAAACAACTGAACTGAAGAATCCGTGAAAAACTTAGCCAGGGAATAAAATTGATATAAGTTATCATTATTAGTGAGCGAGGATGCGATGATAGTTTCAGCTACATGTATTTACAGCGTTTGAAGAACTCATGAGACATGAGACATGAGCCCTTGAAATAAACATCATTACTTCCGGGTTTTCCAAATTGGGCGCCGGCAAAGTAATAAATAGACTCGTTCTATCTTGAACGCCATTAACAACGGTTCCGTGCAAAATTATTTAGTTTTTATTTTCGTTTGAGGAGATTCTTGGTCTTTCGATAAAGTGCTTTGTGATAAACAGGAAAATTGGTTTGGAAGAGGTTGAGAAGAATGAGGGATGAGCACAGGAGATAAGAAAACCCCAGTCACCCCACTGAGGGGCTTTAAAACTGTGCGCAAATGCCTCTCCCTAAGGACAATTCCAGATTTAAGTTTTCTTGAAAAAGCTTAAAATCGCTAGTCCATGAATGGATAACTCAAGATAGTCCTGATTCTAAATAAAGAAAATAGCAAAGAAAATTCAGTAGTAAAGCGACCAGAGTGTTTCTCCGATATCGCGAACAAAAATGGTGTTCTTTCACGGTGTGACTTAAGATGTGTCTGCAGTTTAATGTAAAATCATTCACCATGCTCACGGACCTTTCGACAACCTAAGTGTACCGATTGATGTAATATCAGTGGTAAAAAACGAACGCTCTTTACTGTAGGATGATGAGGTCATCATACAAAAGGCGTCTTCACTCTGGCATCCTCATTTTCTAACCGTCAAAACCTAATTTTCTCTGCTCGTAAACTCAAAACACCTCTGAAGACAAGTAGTGGTAATGTGCTTGTTAGTAAGACGACCAACAAGCTGTGCCCATCGTAAAGAATCTTGTCTGGGCTCCCTTGAAAAATTGCACTTGATCAGAAGCGTTCAAGTTCATCCTCCGCCGCGACAACTTCATGATCTATTTTTACTAATGGGTGGTTCAGTTTGGAACTATCCTTTGGCTTTTCCTTTCGGGTCTTCAGGAGCGTCTCTATCAGGAGCGTAGCCAGGATTTTCCAGGTGTGCGCCCAATTCTCAAAACTTACCCCAACTTCTTGCTCAGTTCTCTCGTATTAAACGTTTCCCTATTACATTTGCTAATTCTGTTAACTAGATGAGGTTATGCGTGAATGAAATGGCACTTGCAATCGGTGAGAAAATTAGGTTAGACACTTTGCCCTCAAGTACGGCTCTCACGTTTTGCTTTCTAGTAAAAAGTGAAGCTTTGGCTTTCCCTTTCCGTGTAAACAATTTCGTTCGGCTGTTCAAACTACTTTTAGAAAACAACAAACTACCCAACTTTATTTTTAATGAAGGTATAAGGGTAGGAATCCACATTGTTTTCAGATGTTCTTCAAAATGTACGCCATGCAAGTGGAGTGCTTCACTGATTTTAACACGAAGATTGTGAAGCAATGTCTAGTGAGTGCGGGGGGTAATGCTCCATCTTAAAGAAATGAAACTGAAAAGAAAAATTTTGTATAATAGGAGTACACATTTTTTAACTTTATCGAGTTGTGAAAAATCACAAATTTGTTTCTTCTTGAATGTGTTATACTCTCATCCAGTTTGAGTGTTTTCAGTGTTTCCGATATGTCCGTCGGAGATCGGTAGTTACCGTGAATGATCGATTAAGCGCCGCGGCGCCCATTTCATTTTCCATGTTAAAAGTGCGGCGCTTATTAGGGAGGGGCGCTTATTTCAACTGCGGGTAAAACACTAAGGGGAATATAGAGAGAGAAGTCAGAGTTCGGCAAGAAAAAGGACAAATATGCACACCTCGAACTGTTATATGAACCTGGTTTCGAAAGTTCCCGCTCATTATAACTTTAGAACTCACGATTGGGTCGTGGTCTTGTTTGTCAGGCGATATGGTTTTGATGTCTTTTTATATCAAGCGGCATAACAAGTCTAACAAAGGTCGGACGTTTACTCCGTAGCGGCGTTTATTCCAGTAGCGGCGCTTAATCGATCATTTACGGTAACTGCACATTTGCTTGGAAAAAAGGAAAAAATGAAAGGTTTATTTTGTCACTTGGGAAGTTAAACTTGATTTCATAGGTCCGTTCATTTCAAACAGGTAACATAGTGCTTTCGTCAAGGGAAAAAATGGAAACGTTTGCTCTATTTTCCCTTGGCTTGGTGCCTTAGTGATATATAATTCTTTGGTCTTTATGGGAGCACGGCTGAAGTCATCATAGCTTTTCTTTAAAATATATAGAAAAACAATCGTCGCTTATCAATTTTTAGAGCACTGTCCAGTCAATTAATTTTTGTTTAGTCATGGACTAAAATGATCGTTTTTTGTTAACCTTTATGGATTTTTTTTACGCATGTACGGGCCTGAGGAAATGTTACCTGAAAACAAGCTACGATCCTAACTTTCTACCTTCGAGTCTTTTCCACAGCCATAAGTTTTTCCCTGAAGGAATTTTTCTTTGTTTCACATAATGATTGGTCTTGTATGCTCATCTATTTTTGAGAGGCTTTTGAGAGGGGGGGTACAATAAAGTTTTGGCCATTTGTCAGTTGTCAGTTAAATTTAAGGCCATTTGTCAGTTGTCAGTTAATTGGCTGTTAATAATTAATTAAGTAATTTAGTTATTTCTTTTTTATCCAAAATTTAATTCGAACATTGCTACACTAATAACCTTTTTTTTTCAAATTTGGAGTTGAATTCATTACAAGCGGCTTTCTATCGTTACTCTCCTGCTTGCCTGAGCAAAACATTCCTCTCTAACCCTTAGACCCTTAGCGCATCAAAATTCACCTTCAAAATACTTGAAGTATATCGCGAGAAAGACAAACAAATATCGCAAGAGTTCTTTCTTTTTTTGTTCGTTTGATTTTATTGGGTATTGTTTGTCAATGGCTCAGTTGTGATTGGCTGGGATGAAGGTGATCGGGGAATATTGCACTCGCCCAAACAGGCGCGTTGGGAAGGGAGTACGGTAACAAACAAAATATGTTTTCTCCTGTGAAACATGAAACATATCTACTATAAGCATGGGTGAAGTGTTTGGTTTCTATAATGTTTTGTTTTTAGCTGATGTACTGCGTGTTTTAATGTATGAATTTACATACGATCAACCGACACCACTAAAATCTGACGTGTAACGATCCCTCCAGGAAAGGTGTTGAGAAGCAAGCACACGGGTGGTTCGCACCACTGCCGCAAAGCTACAAAATGTAGTCATACATTAGGCCACCGTAAATATAACATAAATAATTTCAAGAAAAATAAATGTTACATAGTGCATTACGTGAAAACAAGAGCGAAAATATTCTGAAAACGTGACAGTACCCAGAAGGTTTTCCGGACTAACTTGCATGCTTATATTTACACCACTACATGAAACAAATACACAAGCACTTAGAAAAATACATACTGTTCATTTCGCTTCCTGAGTCATCCAGCATACTTGGAAGCTCCATCTTCCACTGGTCGTCCGTTGTGATGGCGAAGTTATCACTTTTCCCGCCCGGTTTCGGTGCCATCCGATAAAGCTTTATATCGAAATCTCCAAGGCCGTATTTAATTGTTAGTTCCTTGAGACCAAGGAATTGAATAAGGTGCTTTTTGAGAGCATGTACTGTATTTAAGTCATTTATCGGAATATGGCTTCTATGTCTTTCGAATGCCGTATCCGAATTAACGCGGTAAAAGCTTACAATCGCTTTAATAACGCCAGCATTGGCAGACATCATGTAAGCTGGCGCGTGCTCGGGACTGCTCAGCGTGAGTTTGTAAGTTCGAGATCAGAGGTGAAAATTATGACCCTGATGTACATGGGTCATACAGTAAATTATTAACGAAATATGACACTCAAGCGTCCTGCTGCTAAGATTTAATATAAAACGTGCATTTGTTTGACGAAAAGAGTAAAACATTGTTATTTACAACGGGTTTTGAAGGATATTTAGGGCAATAAGATCTTTTGTCAGTTGTCAGTAAAACCCTCTACAAATGTCAGTTGTCAGTTAAATTTTAGCCTATTTGTCAGTTGTCAGTTAAAATTTTGGCCATTTGTCAGTTGTCAGTTAACCCCATTCAGACCCTCTACTTTCTGTCGCTTTTCCCTGATCTAACAGCTCCTTACTGAACAAAAACGGTTTTAATTGTGTCTATTCAGAGAACTAGCCAACATTTTTTCAGCGATACGCAAGATGTTCCTAATTCCCCCCAGTCCCCGTCTTAGGCGCTGGCGTCGCGTAGAATTCTGGGTTCACTGAGGTGAACAAAAAATTTCCCGTCCGGGTAGGGGTTAGTATTTTGCTGTTTTTAGCCGTGACACTTCTGAATGAAGCATACATGAGGTAAATACAATAAAACGGTCAGAGAGTACTGGAAACAAGTTTGAAAAACAAAAAAGATGGCGGCCGAAACGCGGATAATTTTTTTCTGGCTTGCAAATACGTTTTCTGGAAATTTTCTTCGCGCTGGCTACCCCTCACGGGTTCAGGTCAAATTCAAAGGAAAACACAAAACACAGTTTTTATCACAATCCTTGGTTTAAAAGACTGTGGTGGTTTTAAAGGCAGACAAGAGATATCACGACATCAGGTGGTACCGTTCGCGATTTCTGCAAACTTTGGTTGTAATGTTTCCGCGAAAGTCTACGCAGGTTAAAATCCATACAAAAATGGCGATTTTTTGGTTGGTTTGGAGCGCGAAAAACCCAGTGAAATCCGATAAGCTGACATTAATCGAAGGCAAGATCTTGAATTTGATGTTTCTTGATATAAATATTCTGGTGGTACCCATTGAGATGTTGTTACGAGTAACTCACAATCAGAGACAAAAAACTCCGAAAGTCGCTTCAGTCTTATTATTCCGCAATATTTTAAAGACCAAATCGTGGCTCGAATGCGGCTCTAGCCTGTTAAATTGCCGGATGTGACCGGGCATTCTACGCGATGAGTGCTTTTAAGGCAAAGGATTCCGTACTATTGTCTCAAGTGCTGTTGTAGTTTAAAAAAATTAACAGAAATGACTAGAACTTACGTTTTCTGTTTTATCTTACCTATTGTATGACGCACACTCAATTTTATATTAGCGCATCAGTCTGTCTAGTGGCTCCCAAAGCACTAACACGATTTTTTAACTATTCTATGTTTTAATTGCTGTAGTCAATTACTTATTATAGGTGATTATTAATATAAATTCATTTTAAATCTACTTATACATTTTGTATCTTTTTTAGAATCTTATCGTATCTTTTCAGAGTTTTTGTTGTTAATAGTTGTTTGTTGTAAGTAATTTTATCCTTATTTTTCATTTTAGTTCTATATCGTAATCATTTTTATACGGCCCCTCAAGCGTTGAGTTTTAAGTCTTATCGTGTTTTATAATAAAAGAAAGAGATGATGATGATCATGGTGATGATGATGATCATGGATTATGTTTGAAAACCTTCAGTATGAATATGTATAATATTTCAAAAAGCTACACAAAGATCGAGCATACAATCGACAAACAACATAGTCAGAACGGAGACCGCTGTAGTGTCAGCTATTACAAGTGTATATTTCTTTTTTCACTCAAGTTTTCCTTGCACAATTGTGATGTACTTTGTCGCCGACAAGCAAAACCGTACATTAGCATTTTGAAGAGCTGGACCACGACCAAGACGGCAGGGAGTAATTCGGAAGTTAATCTGAATGTACAGTGGAACCTCGGCATAACGAAGGACCAAGTGACCGGCAGAATTTGTTCGCAATATAACGAAGTTTCGTATTATCGAGGTTCTTTTCCATATATTTTATTATTACCGGAGTAGCGAAAATCGTTTGTTACACCGAGGACTTTAATTGTTATATAGAGGTTCATTAAAACAAGGTTCCACTGTAGTAAACGATACCTGAACAATTCAAGCCTTTTTGTCGTAGGTGACGACAATTGATAGTCTGTGTACAGACGTTCCCCCTTCTCAGAAAAAATCGGGAGAAGAGAGTCGTCTCCCGAGGAGGGGGGACGTCTGTACATAGGCCAGACAAGTGACTATTATTCTGCGATTTATTATCGCCATTTGTAATATTGTTGTCTTTAGCTTTTCAAATATGCACCAGTGTCTTTGTTACCAGATTAGATACTTTAGTAAGAGTAGTTAAAAACCTATTAAAAACAAACTTTTACGAGGCTCGTATCTTTACTAAGGGAATTAAACTATTACAAGTAGTACATATTTTCTTTTCACTTTACGAACTGTACAAATTGGGATTTTTGAAGCCTGGGCATTAATCTTGCTTTTCATTTCTTTTTTTCCTAACAGGTTACGGCAGTTGCCAGTATCGATACGATTCATCGGCATTTCTTTTCTCGCTGGTTAACAAACCAGGATGGGCACCTGTGGAACTGCCTGCGTATAGAAATTACCGTCGTGCCATATACGATTGCTCGTCTTATGGACCTACTTTTGGTGGAGGCCATGACATTAAAATTGTCGACTATGCGTCATCCGGTAGTGGTTCCTATACTTATCTTGGCCATACTTACACCCCACCAAGCGGGTACAGCTCTGGAAGTATCTTCACCTACACATTCCTGCAAGGGCAAAGTGATACGGGTTATTTTACACCAGACGAAGTAGAAACGTTTCACGAAACAACCTAGCTGTGGCATCGTATTCAACTTCAAGCTTTACAGTCAATGAATAAAATAAAATATAAAATCGTAGAATTTTTTTCTCCCAGCATATAAGCAATTCATTTCCACAAATCCTAGTTAAAGAAATAAAGTTTTGTTGGATACAATGAAGTACCAGGAAGTTCAGGTCTAATATAAAACTTGCATAATCTAAAGAAGAAACGAAATAATTAGAAAGCGCGCGACATATCGGTAGACGTAATTGTTAAAGTTCAGAGTTTAGCAAAATGTGTTTGCTTAGAATTTCACGTTCATGCATATCCAAATTAATCATTCTTCATAATAATACATAAATTAAATAAAAAGGATTTTACCTTTCAGTACTGTTATCATGAAAAAAGCCGAAAAGTTGTTTAATTTTTGAACGAGCCGACTATTATTCCTAGGAGATTAATCTCCATAAAGTTATTAAAATATGATGCATTGTAACAGTGTGGAAAGAAAAAAATCGAGTTTGGAAGTTTAAAGTTTTGTTGTTGTTTTATAAAGTGGGTCAAGGTTACTTAAAGGAACAGTATCCCGTTACTGCGCATGCACCAAACTTTGCTTTTTGGACAGGATATCGCGAAATCAAAAGATGCGAGGAGCGTAAGAGAACCTTGAAAAAATCCGTTTGCATCACGCTTGGCCGAGTTTGATACTACACTAAAACTTCTCAGGATTACAGATCAATGATATATTGTTCCCGTTGAGTTTCGATTTGGGCGAAATCGGGATTTTTTTGGCGTTACTTATATTGCCGTTGGCCGGAGGACCAAAAGATGGGAAGCGCTTTTATGCCGATTGAAGGCTTATTTCTTCTGCCAGCTTCCATACGAGTTCAGATAATTGTGAAAAGAATACGCAGAAATGAAACAGCAACAATAGAGACTGTAAAAAAGAAACCATTGAGAAAGGATGTGACTGAGGAGATCCTGTGGAATTAAGCTTCGTGAAGCAGAATGTTTTGCAACGACGCGTTAGTACACTTTTAAATGAACCTCCCTACGGCCGGCAAAATCAAACAAACAGGCGCTACATGTTTAGAAAAACTAGTGCAATGAAATCATAATATAATTTTGGACTAACCTTTGCGATAATTCATTGCGTTAAGATTGCATTTTTATTTATATCTTTCAAACGTTTGAGGCTAGCTAGAACGCGAGCAAATCAGGCAAATATTTAATACTGGACTTGAAACAATTGGCCTTTGACACGAGTTTCAGATTAGAAAAGCTGTTTTTAAAGCGAGCGGAACGAGATTTTCGAGTCGCAAAGCGGCCCTGCTAGCGACAAAATCGCGATGAAGCTTCGTGCCACAAGCCAAATTTTAAATAAAACGAAACACTTCTTCGAAAGCGTAAAATATTACTTGAGAATGTAAACAACAAATCTCCGTTGGCGGTGCGGTCCAGAAGGAAATCATGTCGAGTCAATATGACAGTTTTATTGTCTTTTGAAGAAAAAACAGATAGCACTCGCGCGTGCGCACAATCGGGACACTGTCCCTTTAAAGGTCAAATGAACCAAAAAAAATTGAAATATTTTCTTTTGTCGCTTTACATTCACCAAACACTAAAAAGAACCACCCTAAGTGAGATTTGGTTAAAGATTTTTCTCTTCAAGCCTTTTTAGAGAGGTAAAAGATCAAAATCCAAGCATTTCCGAAGACTTCACGAAAACGTTTCTGAAATGGCCGCACGATGTACTGGAGACTACGTGACGTCAATGTTGGTCTTCAGGGCGGAAAAACGTTCTGCGCAAGCTTCTGCGTATCCCTTATCGCAGGCTCAAGGCGGGCTTTTCTGTTTGTTGACTGATTGTTGACTGCGTTTGGTTATGTCGTTCTGTGAGAGTTCTGACTGAGAGGGAATGATTACATGAGGTACGAACGTTTGCTTCATTTAAAGCCATTTTTATTTGTTTTTGTTGTCGTTGTTGTTGCTTTTTCGTCACTTGAAAATTACTATGGATTCAGAACAACCAGTGTTAGAGTAAAAACGGATCATTCCTTCAGTCTGAGGTGGAATAAAACGTTTTGAACATTTCCAAAGAGGTTTGTATTTTTCTGATTGTGCATTCGATTTGTGAGTTGATTTTGTGTCCAGTGCTTCGCTTTCTTTCGCCGGGCTGAATTAAAACCCGCTTGTATTCTGTTATTAGTAGTTACGGTTAGTTTTTTTACATGCCCTGATCTATTTACCTTTGCAGAACCAGCTTTATCCTTGTCTTCAGTCAAAGAACCGTAATGCTAACGCTTGCGAGTAAACAAACTTGTGCGCTTAAAACGTCCTCTGAACTATAGAAGGCTAGCAAGCTTATTCGAGAAGAACGGACTACTTCGATCACTTTTCTGTAGCTCAAGTAATAATAGTCAGAGTTTTTTTTTTTTTTTTCATTTTTAATTACGTAGTTTTGTTTTCTTTCTGTACGCAAATTTTCCTTTCTCTTCACTGTGAAGTAGCTGAGAACAATAACTGCCGCCACTGACCTCAAAACAATTGACTCATTGCCCGTAAACAATTGCTGAACTGGATTTGACTGAAGCGAGCAAAACAACCCCTTATGTGCAGTCTTCTGTACTTTCTAATGATTCAGTTTGGTGAGTTTAATTTGCTTGAATGAAGACCCTCGCATGGAACAGTTATTAACAATGGCTAAATGGTGAATCATGACTTGGGTGCGAAGCTTGCAACTGATCTTTTGCTTTTAAGATCTTTAGGTAGGTTATTTCGCACAGAAAATTCACTTCTTCATTGTCAGCAGGTATAAGAGCCTTAAGCCTTATGTTTTTTTAATGGAAATTTGTTGTTTCGCAACCTTATTGAAGCTTTTTTTAATTCACTTAAGCTGAGTTTAATGCACTGTGGGGGTGTGTTCGAGCAACTCGCTCGCTACACGACGAGGTACCGGGAATCTGATTTACATCTTAGCCTTTATTCTTCTTAAAATTGTTACAACTTCTACTTCTTCTCCTCTTCTTCTCCTCTTCTCTACTAACTTCTACTACTTCAAGTATTAATATCCAAAGCTGGACATGTTTGGGTTAGCTGACCGGAAGAGTTACTATTGTATTTCTTATCGCTAACACTGCAACAGCTTTGCTACTGTCAGGGAATAGATTAGCCTGCGCACAGCCGCAGCTGATAATTACCAAAGAACGAAGGTCAGCTCTAACACCACAAACACGACCATCTGTAAAAAAGCTAACGTCTGACAATGCCAAGCGAATAACATTCCTAATATGGCAACAAGTAAATTCGCGAACTAAGCATAACTTCAAGTGCAAGTAAAAACAAAAGATCAAAACAGGAAAACAGTACGTGGACAAAAACGAGACTTAATGAAACAAAAACTAAACTTAAAAGATAAGATAGATCTGTCTTAAAAAATAACTTTCAACATACTTCACAACATGTTTTTTGAATGGAAATTTGTTGTTTCGCAACCTTATTGAACCTTTTTTTCAGTTCACTTAAGCTGAGTTTTATGCACGATGGAATTGTTCTTTGCTTGTCGCCTCTCTTGGCGAGCTTAAAGTGGCGTCTATGGTCCTTAAAGTGACCTCAGTCGGTAATTAAATCATATACATAACTGGAGAGAAGTTTTTTCAATAATGTAACTTCAACTTTGTTTGAAGGAAATCTTACTTAATTACGCGTAGGTTTTTGACAGGTGTTATGCATGTTCAACTGGACAACACAAACCAAACTTTATCTGCGCGAAACGATCAAGTTTAAAAAACTGTAGTTGCTTTGAAACCGATTTTGGGGAAGATTTTACTCGATAAAGATTAACTCTTTTTCTGCCACGTATCAACGCCAAATCTTCTACATTGAGGATTTTGTTTATATTTTAGTGTTCTGGGAAGCACAAGTGTCCGATCGAGCGTGGGTTTTAAAATATCAGCTCGAGTGCGACAAAGTTCAATGACTTCAAATACATTGTGGGCAAGCGTGAATTTTTGAGGGGCAAATCACTATACAAAGATATTTTGTTTTTGTGTCCACAGTGGAGATCCGGACCTTATATATCCAGAAACGTCCTTATATGAACACATTTTGTGAATGCAACTTGAAAAATAATCGGACCTACGCACATCGCAAGGAGGGATTCCAGCACAGCGTAAGGAAATTAATGCCGTCGTTATAAAAGTCCTTTCTACTATGGTGTATTCTTCGCGAAAATTAAATAATAGGGTTATAATCACAGCTTGCAACTCTTGAAGACAAATTGCTTGTTCTTTCTAGGTGTATGGCCGCACAAACCACCACAATTTCTGCGCCAAGTCGACTCAAAAGGCACTGTTTTGAATTTCCCGCCTTTTTTCACCTGACCAACATTGACGTCATAAGCTGTTTTTACCGACAATTTTTCCGACCGGTCTACGAAGATAAGGGCCAAAACATAACAATTTTTAATGCGAATATCTCGGAGATGCTTGCTTCAATTGAGCTGAAACTTCATAGAATGTTTATTCGGTTCATATTAAACATATTTCTTTAGAATTGAACCAAAATAGAAAATGTTGAATTTTTGGTTCATTTGACCTTTAAGGCTATAATCCACTAAATTAGGACTACATTGGACAGGTTTCGGGGTGGTATCTTCGTCTTTTTAATGAGCTTTTTAACTTAATTGTCGTGTATTTTGAAGGCCTATGCTTAGGATTAAGCTGACCTCGTCTTATTTACTACATGGGTCCTGTTTCGATTTAGAGCCCAACCGCTGGTCAGAAGTTCTGTTGCCAAATTTCATTGGCCAGCTTGGGTTTGACATGTTCAACCATTAAGGATTACACTTCAGTGGCGCCTTCTTGATGGGCAATAAAAAACCAACCTCAGCCCAGTTAGCTTAATTATATAAGCGATTAAAGCGATTTTAGCGTGGATTGCTGCATGCGATTTTGTCGATGCCTTTTTGTCGTTATTTTCAAATGCAAACAGTAAACATGAAAATCAATCGGATGAAGCGGAAAATCGAAAGGTTAGTTTGGTCTATGTTTAGTTTTAGTGAAACCGCTTACACATTTTTTCGATACAATTAAGTTTTTTTTTTTTAATGACCCGCAATCACTGTTCATAAACCATGAGTTTTCGGTTCTTCCCATAGGGATTGACATGGAAGCCCCTTCCCAACCAGGGCGTAAGAAGCTAGGGCGTTGAAACGAGCGGGGTCGAGCGATCTAGCGGTGATGCAAGGGTCTGGGTACCAAAGAGACAAAACAAGGTAGCGGACATTATACTGGCCGGACCATCAGAGAGATTATCCAGCGAACGTTTGCCATTATCCCGTAGCATTCATTTGCTACAATAGCGAAGGAACAAATTATTTTTTCTCACGTTCGTGGTCTATTTTGTTCAATTTTTCCCCCGCGAACAAATATCTGTATTGAATATAGTTCCACCTCCGTGACCTGTATTAAAATTTCGTGACTTGGTAAGAAAATGGCATCACAACTCAGATGATAGCACTGACATCATTTTTAGACTAATATTATCGGTTCTCTACTTCAGTTTAATATCAAGTTGTGTAATTCATCATCTGCTATGGCATTTATTTTTTGCTTCCCATTTTCAAGGCCAGATGATCTGTTTTCACTATTAAAGTTTGGATTTGTCGGCATTCTTCTCTAAAACACGTTATTGAGCTATCTCCAATATTGAGCATTACAGTTGGACACATTGTGAAAACTAAAGTCCTGGTAAATTTAAAATATAATCATAATTATTTCTTATCTTGTACACTAATAGTGCTGTGCAATGAAGAATAAGTATGTGAAAGAATATAATTCACTGCCCTTGAAAAACTAACAAAGAGGTCGCAAGAACACAAATAAGTAGGCCAGCAAATATTTTTGTTTGATAGTAACAGCTTTTTGTATTGAAAACTACATGCAAGACATACTAAGGAACTTAAATGAAACTAAACATTCACTAGTCTTACATTGAAACCAGACATTGCTATATATATATATATCTGTCTGATTTTGGAAAAAGGTACCCTACAACAGAAGAGGGTCTGTAACAAATGTATGTCTTTTCTGTGGTTCCAATATTGAGTTAACTTTTAAATTACCAAAAAGGCCTTAGAGTGGCCAAGCTTCTTTCAAGTATGGTAGAAATTGGCTAATGAGCCACACCCCTTCTCCCCCCATTCCCCTCACCCCTGCATCCGAGGCCCTTGTCCTAACAGCTTATATGGGCCGGAGCAGAAAAACAATAAACTAACAGCATGCAATGACTTCAATGCTTGCGTGCATGACCACTACTGTATAACGGAACGTTAGATAGCTACTCTAGCCAATAGTTGGGACTCTGAGAAAGGTGCCCTTTTCTAAAATCAGACAGAAAATTAATATGTGGTAATTTCCCAAATGACTAGGTAACTGCCCCAATGAACACCCAACCACTTTCTCCACTGGCCAGCTATCTGCTGCAGTAAGTATTCAAGCCGTACACAAATCATTACTTATCCAGTTACAGTGAATAATATGTGGTAATTTCCTAATGACAAGGTAACTGCACCAATATGAATGTACTCAACAGCTTTCTCTCATAGCCAGCTATCTGCTGCAGTGAATATTGAAGCAGTACACAAATCATTGCTTATCTGTTAGGGTGAATTAAGGTGGCTCGACTGGATTTTTTGGGGTTGATACCACCCAACTTTGAGCATTAACTACGTCGGCATGAGTAAAGATATGGAAAAAATGTTGCCACAACTGTATTATATAAAGATGAAAATTTCTTATGATCTGGGTTTTATTGCAATCGGAGTCGCCATGGCAACATAATGACGCCATTACGTTTTTCATTTATCGTTGTGTTTCTCTGTACCAAGAGTTTTTTGAAGAAATCGCTTAAGGGAGTATGTACCTGCCATAATTGCCTCCATTATGGCAAAATTTGAAGAAATTCTATGAGAGCGTTTTCGAAATATTTTGAAATGCAGTTTTAAGAATCATCAAAGCAGTGAAATAACATGTTAGCCGCACAATTCGCTAATATCTTAAGAAAATGATAAGCTTTGGAATCGCGGCTTCATCTCGTAGTGGTTTGATTCCATTGAAAACTGTATACAAAAAATGGGGGGAATTGCTCTGGGCGATCGCGAGTAAGAGGAATTTTATTAACTTGCATTCAGCTGCTTTTGATACAGTTTTTGGACGTAATTTGGTCCATGCCTAAAAATTTCGCATTTTTCCAAAAACCGCTCGATAAATTTTTTTATAAATTCGACAATCCCGAGATCAATTGTCAAGAAATATTCCCTGCAAGTTTCAAGAACATTGAAAACAGGGAAGGCTTTTAAACAGGGCCTCAAACATAACCAATTTTCCCCCCAGATTTTGTGTTTACAAGTGAGCGTCCTCATTATTCACTGGCATTGTTTTCAAGTTTCATATGCACGTGCGCAACTAGCAAAAGATATAAATTTGCATCAAAAAGAACTCGCGATTACTTTCCGAAGAAATATCCGGAATATGCTAATAATTGGCTTGTCGTCACAGATAGCAGTGAGAGCCGAAACGGTGAACGTCACGGTTCATCGTGTAGGATGCAATACTTAAAGGAGCTATGTCACGACCTGCGCATGTGCAGCGTTTTAGGCTGTTCTGCTGATTTTCTCAACTTTCCGCCATATTGGATTTAACAAACCTGGTCGATTTTTGGCAGCAAACCTCTATTTTCTACATCTTTTGAGGACTTAAAGAGAAACTACAATACCATGTCAGTCTTTCGCCGTTTTAGTAAGCCATGGAGGCGCACGATTCTAGTCAGGTTAGTAATCGCTTCCTATCTATCGATAGATCGCCATGTCACAATGTCTCCAGTACGGAGATTTCCTGAGAGTTTTTCTTATTTTGGGCAACATTTAAGAATACTAGTCTTGACAAACTTGTCGTGTATGTTCTCTTTTGTAGCCGAATCGTATTTACTGCACATGCAAGAGCACTTGCTCGACAAAAAGAACAAGTACGGAAGTGTCATGTGGGCAGGACTGTAAATGTGGGTCTCAGTCAAAGCCGTGTCGAAACAAGGTAATCTGTTCTCGAAAGGTTGATAAAATGTTGGATCTATTGTTGATTTTTATACAAATTTCTTGAAAGAGGTGCAAATTTGCAATCTTTGGAGAGAAAACGTTTGTTGTTTTAGCAAAGGAAATGTGCTGTAATCCCCACGATCTGTCCTGCAGAATTATTATGAGGTCCTGTACTGTGTTAATATATTTTTGGATAAATGCTCACCGATTGTTTTTTTTGGTATGGCAGTATACCTTGTCAGTCTACATTTTAGTGTCACACTTCTATACCTGCCAACTTTTTCTGAGATGTAGGCGTGAGATCTTTATCCTGGGAGTGCTGGGATTTTTGAAAACGACACGATCATTTCCGAAGGTTCCCGAAGAAGTCCGAAGTCTTCCGAAGACGTCCGAAGTCTGCCGAAGGCAAAGTTATCGAGAAAACGCTTATCCACAAAATCAGAGATCGCGAGGAAGGTATTGTCATTTATTCATTTTACACATGGTTTTCGTTCCTTACATGGGTCTGAGTTAACATATTTTTGGAAATTGTGTCCAGCAAGACGGCAACAACTCACATTTTTCAATCAGGCGTGAGAAATTGGTCCGCAGGCGTGAGCGGGCGTGAGATCGAAGTTTTCAACCCGCAGGCGTGAGACTCACGCCTAAGGCGTGAGAGTTGGCAGGTATACACTTCTCCTCTACAAATGTAGTCATTATACTGAACAAAAATATACACTATTGTTTGTTTTCCTGATATTTTACCTCTCTTTGACAGGACTGTATTCAAACTTTGGATGAGCCAATGGTGCACAAACTGTGTGTCAGAAGTCTACAATGTGGATTAGGGAGCATGGACTACATACATAGTCTGCTAATTATGGACGATGACAATGATAGTGACACTGAGAGTGAGCATTTTGATGTGTACAGAGAAACCCCACAGGAGTCTGAATCCACTGATAGCCAACATGCTTCAGCAGTTGCGGGACCAGCACCTAACCCTTCTGCTGCATCAAACTCACTTCCCTGGTGTAAATGTAGTTTTTCTATTGTTGTGGTCAGAGAAGATGTGTTACAACATTTGCGAGGTTCAGCAAGCTTTGTCTCGACCCAGATGTGTTAGAAATCGAGCAGCAGCACAGTGATGATAACAGTACAAGGGCCTTCAGGAAGGCTGCTTACAGGCAATTTATTCTTGATCGTTATGGACATCTAGGGAAGGGTAACAGAAAGGTCTGTCCTTCGTGTGTGGTCAAAACTGTGCGCAGACATTATCCTTCGCAGACAGGTGTGTACATTTGGTACAGACCCGAATGAGACAACCACCATGGAACTGTGTTCTGCATCTCACGAGAATAGCTAGACTTGTATTTCCCCAGTTTGCTCTTTCTCTAGTTCTTCAGAACTTTATTATAATATTTTGTTATTTCTAAGTCATGAACGGAGTCGGCAACCATCTTTTTCATGTTTCCATAACATATCCATTTCCACCCCAAGAAAGGTCAATAATAGGCTTATTTCATGTGGAGGGTGGTTGTAAAGGCCAAATTTTAAAAAGAGAGTAGGGGGAAAACCTAAAAACCTTCACTCAGGGGATTATAGATTATTTTTCTTGATCTACTCCTTTAGTTTGTTACAATGTTATGCTTTTATTGTAAGACATTTACATCATTTTGTGAAGTAAAGAAATCAAAGTGTTACATCAGCATGAATTTCAGACGATTGCTGAGAGGAGATGACTCGAAGTAATCGTCTGAAATTCAGGTTAAGTTATGATTTACAAAATTTGCAATCAACTTAGTTGTGGTTGTTTCATGAACTGATTTCAAATATAAGAATGCAATGAAATTGTTGTTAGAAAATGTCATCTACAATGGAGGTCAAAAGTGTTGGGACCTTTTCAGTGATATTAGTAAAACTAGCAAACCCTCTCCCCTCCCACCCCAAATAAAGTTGAATTTTGAGCAAATGGGTGGAATTGACTGCTTTATTTGGCCACAACATTGCTGGGGGGGGAGTGGGGGGATGACGGAATTAGACCAAAGCTGATCAAAAAATTGTCATTAGGAGCAGAGTCCTATGTAACAGTTACTTGGAAGGGCTTTTTCACACAGTCCCAAGTTCTTTTCTCCTTCATTGTAGTTCTTTGTACTATAATATAGTAGCCTGCAAAGAAAGTAGTGTCCCATAGCCCAGGGCCTATGGGTAAGTCAAGTTTTTTGAGGAATTCACATGACAGAATAACAGTGTTAAATCAATTCTGCTCACCAAAAGTGTTGGGGCTAGTTGAAATGACATCTGGGCTACTAAATGCTACCTTCAGCTTCCCCGAAGCTGTGAAACTGACTTTCTTTGCACTCTGTACATGTACGTAAAGTATGCAAACATTATTTGTACCATTTTATTTCGTACATCTAAACTTGTTGGTGTTAATAAGGACTGTTAAGTCAGTGACTGACTTGAACATCTGTAGTGGCCGAGCCACTCAGGCTATCCTCGGTGCAAAATTGCAATCACATAATCATTCATTTTAACATACCCCCCCAAAACAAAAGAAAAATTAATAACCTTTCAACTTATAAATAAACATGAACAAATTACCCATTATCAGCAATTACAGCAAAGTGAGCAAGACGATTGAAAAAGACACATTTCAGCCTTTAGGGCAATATCCTACTGATGAAATTTTCCAACTTAGTTTTAGATATTTTGAGCAACAACAATTTTCCGTCTGTCCTCTTTGAATTTTTATTACTACTTGAGGAATTCTCTGAATGATCTTCAGTACCAGATTGAAATCTGCTCTTACGTGCCATAAAAAGTTCCTTTGAAGGGGGTGCCTGTTTTTCAGCGATGGTGAGAGCCAGCAAAGCAGGGTCGCTTTCATTCAAAGACAGCCGCCTCGTAACACTATCAGTATCTTCTTTTCTCATGTTAAAAATCTTCACCATCATCACTGGAATGTACTCAAACTTTTTCTTGACTGTGATAATTTTCACGTCCCAATCATTTGTTCTCTGATTGTACTTTCTGGTTGCTATCTGCTCTCCTGCTTTTGTTGTTGCTGCTTCAAGGTTCAAGGTTGCTGCAAGCTGTTTTGTGAACTTTGTTACTGTAACACAAGTATGATAACAAAAAGATTACTATTCACAGTCCCTTTATTATTTTTGTTTCATAATCTGCACTGTAAAATCAGTCTCAATAAAAGTCGTTTCAAATTTTGGAAATTCTTCCCTTTATTGCTGAGTAGTAAGTGCAGCTGAATCCCAATCTGGTAGGTTAGGTTCTAGACTTGATCTTACCAGTCACTGGTTTTGAACCATAAAACTGCCACGCTTTAAGGTGACTCGACCCAGTTTTTTTTGGGGGGTACCATCCTACTTTGAAGCTCTCTGGTATCCCCACCTTTACTTTTATCGTAAGTCTAACACATAGAATGGATAACATATAGATCAATCTGCAATATAACATAAAATTTTTGGCGATCGGAGTAAATGTCACGTGGTTATAATGCCACGCCCCTTTGAGGTCTGAGTCGAAAATCGGCTGTTGCCGGCATTTTTTTGTGAAAATCTCTCGGCTACACATAGTGCGCATTAGTGCCTTGCGCTGAACAGAGTTTCACCAAAATCGCAAAGACCCAATTCGAGAAATTCAGCGGTTTCCAAATTTAGGTCATAATTTATGCGAAAATGATAAGCAAACTTTACACGGATTATATATAATAAACTATGAGATTCATCTCCTTATTTTGGGCATCGTTATAACAGATGGGTCCTTGCAAGTCAGCAAAACGCTTTAGGGCCTTGTAAATGCGCGCGATTTCGAGCAAAGCAAACATATAGAAATTATAGTTTTCGCTATTTGTTGACGTTTGTCAGCGTTTGAGAGTCCTTCTCACGAAAAAAGCATTTTCTTAAAAATTCGTAGTTTTTTTTTCTTCAAATTTTTTCAGGGCCACAATTGATTAACTAACTACCCGGACTCTGAATTTCATGGTCATTGAAAAACTGTGACATTATCTTCTATAAGCTCAAACTTGAGTAAACATTGAAGATTTTTAGCGTTTTGGCTGAGTTTGTGCTTTGGGAGTTGTCTATTGTTTCTAGTCTGTCATTATACAGCATTCTTGTTCAGCACGCGTGCAATGACTGCGCTTGGCTGACTTCCGAATGCTCACCGAAATATTATTAATTTGGTATAGTGAGACAGGCCATCGCGTGATACATAGAGGTTTAACTAACAATTTTTCATCAATTCTCGTGCTTCTTGTGTCTTTGCAAAAAAATCGAGAAGTGCTACACACTAAGTCCACTTACTATTACAAAAATATCATTTTTTCATGGGTTTAATGCAAGGCAATAATTAAACCAACTCGTGACGGGAATATCTCGGTGAGCATTCGGAAGTCAGCCAAGCGTGGTCATTGCACGCGTGCTGAACAAGAATGCTGTATAATGACAGACTAGAAACAATAGACAACTCCCAAAGCACAAACTCAGCCAAAACGCTAAAAATCTTCAATGTTTACTCAAGTTTGAGCTTATAGAAGATAATGTCACAGTTTTTCAATGACCATGAAATTCAGGGTCCGGATAGTTAGTTAATCAATTGTGGCCCTGAAAAATTTGAAGGAAAAAAAACTACGAATTTTTAAGAAAATGCTTTTTTCGTGAGAAGGACTCTCAAACGCTGACAAACGTCAACAAATAGCGAAAACTATAATTTCTATATGTTTGCTTTGCTCGAAATCGCGCGCATTTACAAGGCCCTAAAGCGTTTTGCTGACTTGCAAGGACCCATCTGTTATAACGATGCCCAAAATAAAGGGATGAATCTCTTGGTTTATTAGATATAATCTGTGTAAAGTTTGCTTATCATTTTCGCATAAATTATGACCTAAATTTGGAAACCGCTGAATTTCTCGAATTGGGTCTTTGCGATTTTGGTGAAACTCTGTTCAGCGCAAGGCACTAATGCGCACTGTGTGTAGCCGAGAGATTTTCACAAAAAAATGCCGGCAACAGCCGATTTTCGACTCAGACCTCAAAGGGGCGTGGCATTATAACCACGTGACATTTACTCCGATCGCCAAAAATTTTATGTTATATTGCAGATTGATCTATATATTATCCATTCTATGTGTTAGACTTACGATAAAAGTAAAGGTGGGGATACCAGAGAGCTTCAAAGTAGGATGGTACCCCCCAAAAAAAACTGGGTCGAGTCACCTTAATAGCTAGCTGGTTGCAGCATGCCAGGTGGGATTCTTTCTTGTCATGTTTACATGTACATTGTCTATATATTATTATTAGTTCAACTGGATCAAAAAGGTCTCGCATGACATTTGACGAAGTGTCAAATTTTCCTCGTTTCACAGGCGTTAACATAATAAATAAACCTGTAAGAGCATCGTTTTGAAGTATAAACCAGTGAAAGGCTGTTGGCACACTTGAGTTTGCCTGTGTGTCTGCAATCAAAGGTAAAAGAACCACTAACCATGAAAAATTTATTGTAATATAATGCATGCAACGCATTATTGCCATGGAAATGAATGGATTAGCTACTAGGATTAGCATGCAGTCTCCTTTTTAATGACCAATTTCTATTCTCCAAGTAACTGCAAAGAACTGTGATACATTGTATGACTCAATAAAAGTCTCCAGAGACACCACAGGAACTGCAATAAATTATGAAAAACTGGAAAAACAATGTGCATTATCTTGGATGACTCTGGTCAATGCTTAACTAAAAATTGATCAATAAATGAATCAATCAAAAAATTTATCAATCAATGAATATATTAAAAATTAAAAATTAAAAATATTAAAAATTAAAATTAAAAAAAAAATTGAATATCAACATGCCAAGAACTGGTTTTATTTAGTTGGTAGTAATATCCTAAGTAAATAAGCTCCCACATCTTGAGAGCCAAAGATTAGACATAAGGGTTGCCTCTCAGCCAGTGTCACATTTTATCGGCAAGAATGTTGTCTCAATAACTAATAATTTCTCAGGAAAAACAATCATTACCAAGGTTTGGTATTTTACCTGAATCGCACATAATATTTAAAACTGTTAAGAAGCTTTGGTTCCAGGATAATTTTCTGGAGGGCCGCAAAATAATAGTAATGTGAAGACATTTATTCAATCTAGAATCAAGTACAGCTGCAGTCTCACCTTCAATGTGGCTTCGTTTTGAGGAAGGAACTGGTTTGTGGATGATGCCTCTCTCTCTCCTTTTTTACAAACGGTAGATGCACTATCCCTGTAAAAGAAAATAGATACATACATTCAAAACAACTGATTAACTCAAAATAAGACCGCCAGCAAACAGATTGAACAGACATTTTATGCATTTACCTTCTTCTTGTCTCGAGCGATAGAAGATGGGCAGCAAACATGGAATCGTTGTCGTATCCGCACTTGATCCTCGTAGAAACCCAAGATTAGAAAAGTGTTCCATCCAACGAAATCCTTTTACGAGTCTTACGCCAGAACTGAAGCCTCGCTGAGTTGCTAGCGAAGATTTTCTTGCGGCCGCTTCCTGATCGGCGATCGCCATGAGAGGACATTTGTTACCTCCAAACAGTTGACCTCAAATAAGCCGTTGATCAGAGTCATTGAAACAAAAACACACAGGAACCTTCTAAAAGGGCTGTACAATAGTAACTAACGTTTAACTATGCGAACTGTTAACGGATGGCTGCGATAAATAACGATAAACTCCTGATATTGAATCACCCGCAGAACTTGAAAAAGTTGGCGAACGTTTTCAAGATGTAACGCTTCATCGCGCACATGCGCAGTGTGTGACATAGCTCCTTTAATTATCTTACTCGGGTTATAACATCACAGAAACTATCACAAAGAGTTGCTCTGATGTTATAATGTATCACTAATCTCTTTACCCGATAATTAGCATATCCCGGAGATTTAACCGAGGGTCCTTTTTGATGCAAATTCTATCTTTTTGCTAAATGTGCACGTGTATATGAAACTTGAAAACAATGCCAGTGAATAATGAGGACGCTCACTTGTAAACACAAAATCTGGGGCTATATTTGAGGCCCTATTTAAAAGCCTTCCCTGTTTTCAATGCTCTTAAAACTTGCAGGGAATATTTCTTGACGATTTATCTCGGGATTGTCGAATTTATAAAAAATTTATCGAGCGGTTTTTGGAAAAATGCGAAATTTTCAGGCATGGACTAAATTACCTCCAAAAACTGTATCAAAAGCATCTGAATGCAAGTTAATAAAATCCTTCTTACTCGCGATTGCCCAGAGCAATTCCCCTCATTTTTTGTATGCAGTTTTCAATGGAATCAAACCTCTATGAGATGAAGCCACGTTCCCAAAGCTTATCATTTTCTTAAAATATTAGCGAATTGTGCGGCTAGCATGCTATTTCACTGTTTTTATGATTCTTAAAACTGCATTTCAAAATAATTCGAAAACGCTCTCATAGAATTTCTTCAAATTTTGCCATGATGGAGGCAATTGTGGCAGGTACATACTCCCTTAAGCGGTTTCTTCAAAAAACTCCTGGTACAGAGAAACACAACGATAAATGAAAAAAGTAATGGCGTCATTACGTTGCCATGGCGATTCCGATTGCGATAAAACCCAGATCATAAGAAATTTTCATCTTTATATAATACAGTTGTGGTAACCTTTTTCCATATCTTTACTCATGCCGACGTAGTTAATGCTCAAACTTGGGAAGTATCCCCCTAAAAAAATCCAGTCGAGCCACCTTAATACGTGGTAATTTCCCAAATGACCAGCTAACTCCACCAATGAATACTCATCCACCTTCTCTAATGACCACCTATCTGCTGCAGTGAATATTGAAGCAGTATACACATCATTGCTTATCTGTTAGGGTTATCTGTCTGATTTTGGAAAAAGGTACCCTACAACAGAAGAGGCTCTGTAAAAAGTGGATGCCTTTTCTGTGGTCTCCAAATTGACTTAACTTCTGAATTACCAAAAAGGCCTTAGAGTGGCTAAGGTTCGTTCAAGTGTGGTAGAGGTTGGCCAGCGAATCACGCCCCTTTCCCCTCAAACACCCCCCACCTGCTTCTGAGGGCCTTGTCCCAACAACTAATATGGGAGGAGTATAACGAACACAAAGTATGCACTGATTTCAATGCTTGCGTGCGTCACCACTACGTACTGTATGGCGGTAAGTTAGATAGCTACACTAGCCAACGGCTGGAATTCTTAGATAGGTACCTTTTTAGGTGAAATCAGACAGACATAACACAAGTGTTAGCTATCTCTTGTAGTGGATAATCTGCCATGGTGATCTTTTTAATTTGGTCAGAAAAGGTTTCTTAAAGCACACAGGGTTTGTAAGCAATCTAGTATGCTATTTTCGTGGTCCTTGTATTGTCCGTTGGGTCTGTTTTTTTCGAAAGGATCAAAGTTCTTTAGGCTCCTTTAGTGCAGTGACCACTGCTTTACTCCCTTTCTGGTGCAAAAAAGATAATAATAATAATAATAATAATAATAAATAATAATAATAATAATAAGAAACAGCAATTCAGGGAAAGAAGTATTGCAGCATAAAATACTAGCATTACTAAAGTTTGTTAACTGGTTCAAGTTAATATTAGCTTTGAGAGATATATTCGGAGCACCTCTTGCGGTTTCCATGCAAGATGTCCTATTTATCGTTCTCGTTTTAACCCTAATTACCTGCCGGTAACTCTTGCGGCAAGAACCAAGAACTTTTGCTCGAGTGTCTCCCAGAGTTACCGGCATTTAAAGACTGACAGAAACGTCAAGACTTCTACTTGTGAAAGTAAAAAAAAAAACACAAAAAAACTAATGCAGTTTCACTCACCGTGATCTCTTGCAGCGAAGTTGCGCATGGCCGCGGAGGACTGTGTAATTGCCCCAAACGGGGCAAAAACCCAGGCTTCGCGCGGGCGACAGCTCCGTGGGCCATTTGTACGATGACGTATCCCTTTTTTTTTACTACTAAGACCAGAATTCATTTCGTTTTTTCTTTTCTATTTAAATTTGGTAGTCCCAGTAAGGTTTTAACAACAAAAGCCTTAACTTGCACAAGAAAACAATACCCTGATAATGGTAAAATGACACCACGTGCAAATGGCCTACTCCATTACGTTAGAATACACTTTCTCACAAACTAGAAAACCCTCCCAGCGCGAACTTCACTCTCGGTAATATAAAACGCACAGTTTTTGGCCAGCCCTACTGTTAACCTCTGTCCGCAAAGATTAGCATCTATCAACAGGCCCTAACTATCTGGGTGACCTGTGCTGCACCCATAACTCAGTTGTGTCTAAAATCAAATATGGCGATCTCCAGGATCTCAGAGGGATCGAGCAAGGAATATTCCAAGATTCAGGGTTTCTTTGTACATCGTTATAATCGGTAAGCAAACAGTTACAGTGTTACATTCATTGGACACTGCAGTACAAATTGTATTGCGAAATCCGTTCTCGTCTCTCATGGCAGCTGGGCAGTAACCCTTACAAGCTTGTGTTGTTTATTTCAGGCCTACACATATTTAATCGCTAGGATATTTACAGTCAAACGAAATCGAGCCTTATAACACTAGTGAAACTCAAGACAATGTGAATAAAATAGTATCGAACCTTCGTGCTAAAACCGGACCACAACACCTGTTTGAATATAATTTGCAGAATGTAGTAAAAACAAACAACAAGAACAAAAAAAACATGTATTTTAAAATTATTTTGAAGATCATCGAGGAACATAGCCAAAGCATACACACAGAATTCTCTTACAGTCGAACCTCGACTCAAATAGTAAATAGTCCGGATAATCGAAGATATGAATATCAACGAGGCAATAATGTAAAAACAGGGAATAGAGAAAACAAAATTTCGTTACCAATGAGGTCCTACTTGCATTTTTGTACAGTCTGTATGTTATGTATTTTCAAATAAAAAAAAGGTCCTGTTTCACATGTTCGTGCATTCACAGCACTCTAAAATGTTCAAGCATACTAGTTTGTTTTAACGAACAACGTGGTGGCATAGCAAAGTCCATCATTTGTCGAAGCTGCATTATTCGGATAGGGTCGATGTTGTCAATATTTCGCTGGCATTTCGTTTCAATCCTTCGCTCATCTCGATGCTGTCGGTGAATTTCAGGACCTTCTCTTTGTTTTTGCGTATACCTGAGATCTGCTGCTTGCTGATTTTAAACTCGAGTGCTAAATTTGTTGTTCCTTTCTCGCCTTGCTCTAAAGGTGAAATAATCGTTTGCATGTCATTTGTTAAGAGAACAGACCGCTTTCGTCTCGTAATGGTAATAAATTGCTTTATTTGCATGACCGCATCATTTTACAGTATTGCAAAAGCATGCATATGACAATCAAAATATAAAACAAACAGCACTAACAATAATCTAGAAAAATTCAGTTACATTACTTACAGTGAATCACATATTTTTATACAGGAGGAAACAAACTTCATAACTAACATGATGTTCCTTCGAATTCATTATCAGTTTTTATATGCTTTCTGGAGATGATTTCTTGTCAAAGTCAGGTATTATTCGATTGATTTGATTAATAAATGCCTGTCTCTGTACTGAGTATTTGTTACATTGAAAGAGGAAATGAATCTCATCTTCCACCTGATTTGAGTTACATAAGGGACATAATCTATTTTCTCTTTGCAAATGATCGATTTGGTATCGACCATGTTCAATCATAAGTTTATTTGTGATTACTTACTTTAAATTTAACAAAATTCTGTCGTTCGTCATAATGTCTTAGCTGGTAGAGATAATCAGATGTAGAATATTTGTCTTTAAAAGTTTTATAAAATTCTAGTTTTTTTGAATTTTCAAGGCTGTGCCGCCAAAGAGATAGATATTTCTCTCTCATTTCTGTGGTATATCGTCTAATTTTATCATTATCTAGAGATTCAGCATCTAAACTGGTTAGATTGTATTGTTCAAACATGTTTATGAAATTGGAAAAATATCCTGAATGTAGATTCTTTGACATAAGGAAAGACTGTTTGACTATAGAGTCATTATCTTTGTTGTTAAGGTAAACAAAATATTTCATAATTTTCTGATTCATCGGGATAAGCAGCGGCACTCTATCAAGTTCAGCTCTGCAAGCTATGTGAGAGGCCTTATTGTTAACCTCTAAGTAACGTTTACAGAATTTGAGGTGGACTTTTTCTATTGGGGAGCTATCCCATTTTTTAAAATCTTGCTTGGTGTACACTCCCCATACCTCACTGTTGTAACTTAAGATTGGGAATACCATGGTGTCAAAAATATGGGATGCAATATTAGGATTAAGGTTGTTAAGAATTGTCCGCTTCCGAATACTGGAAAATGCGTGAAGGGCCTTTTCTTTTAAGTGTTCGAGTGCAAGTGTAAAGTTTCCCGTTGGAGTTAAACGTGTACCTAAATAAGTGTATTCTTGGACAATTTCAATTGACTCACTGCCTATGCTGAATTTGATGTCAATAGATTTTTTTGGGCGTTTCTGGAATATCATAATTTTTGTTTTTTTTCGGATTAATTTTTAGCTTCCATTTGTCACAATACAAGGAAAGCGCATTTAAACAGTTCTGTAATCCAGTTTTCGATCTTGATAGAATAACTAAATCATCTGCGTACAAAAGTGAATTTTTTTTTTCCCATTTGGAAGAACAAATGGGTCAGATAAGGTGTTTTCGATCATAAATGTGGTACATTGTTTAAATAGAGGTTGAATAAAAGAGAGCTTAAAATACAGCCTTGGCGTACACCTCTGGAATATGAAAAAGGCTGTGTTTTGTTTTCACCGATTTTGATGGAACATGTCGAGTTGCAATAAAGGCTTTTCATGAGGTTGTACAAGTTTCCTCCTGTATTTGTTTCGTAGACATGGCAATTGGTCTTGTGTCTACATAACCCACACGGAATCAAGCATGACATTCCCTTAGCAACATAACAATTCAGCCATTCAGAATTCAGCTGAATGCATCAGAATAATTGTTCATTTTGTGCTGCTCACGCTTGTTCAAAGCAAAACAGATTAAAAACACTGTTGTAAACTCACGTTTGGGGTAATGAAATGTGAAATGGAATAATAAAATTAATGTCGGCATATATCAGAAACAAAGTGTGAGTCATCGAGACACTGTTGCATTGCAAAGCAAAGGTAATCACAGGAGTACACTGAAACAAAAAACCATTGACCCTCCATACTTGTTTGTGCAGCCCAAAGATTGTTAATTGCTGCAGTTTATGTTGGTCTTTTCTGTCTAGTCCACATATTGAAATAAAGGATTCCGTATTATAAGCAAGCGATTAATCCTTCAATCTCCACAGCATGGTACTAATGTTGTTGGAGATGTAAACTTTATTATTCTCCTAGTTGATCAGAGAATTAAACTGTTGGACATACACAACAAGGTTTTAAGATTCATCACAGGCCTTTTCCTCCGATTGTCAAGCAGACAGCTTTTTTGAACATATAGACAACCTCAAGATTGCATGCCTCTTTCAGGTTTAGGGTTCAGTGTTGATTTTCCTTCTTGAATCCAGGGGGACCATTACTTATGCCACATTCTGACAGACCACATAAACAATCACCGGCAGCATCTTCTGGGGAAACCCAGGTAAAAATGTGAGGCGGGATCCCACCAATCCCACCTGGGATCCCAGGTTAATCCCAGGTGGGATCCCGCCAGAAATAGGCGGGATCCCTCCTGGGATCCCGCCCGGGATTATGGAACGTCCCGGGAGGCATCCCACCTGGGATCCCAACTAGGATCCCACCTGAAATCCTGGGTGGGGTCCAAGAAACCATCCCACCTGGGATTTGTAAAAATCCCGCCAATCCTACCCGGGATCCTGCCTGAAATCCCGGGTGGGATCAAAGATATCCCACCTGTGATATCAGATGGGATATCCTACCTTTCCTGGCAGCATCGAATGCAGGTTGTTAAATTGATGGGATCCTGCTATCCCACCCTGTCATACACAGGAAATTGATATTTATCGTAGAGGGATTTGAAGACATATAACTTCTGCACCATATTTTTAACTTAATCTGCAAATTTATTAGGAAAATAGAGTTAATATACATGTAAGTCTTGAATAAAATGCAACTTTAATAAGTCTACATATACAATATTCAGTCATTGCAGAACATTCAAATATGTGATTAAATCTTTTGAAAAAAAAACCACAACAACACAAATGCAGTATTTTCATGGAGAAGTCTCATTCGAAACCCCAAGTTAAAGTTTGCTTAATTTGCTTATCGTGTAAACTTTTGGCTGATGTCGTGCTCTTCAGTGCCATACACTTTTCTTTTGACTGCAACGAATAAGTATCTGCAAACAGAAAAGTTGAGATTTTAAGGCAAATGAACACAAAAACAACCTGACGTTTTAGAATTGAAACGAACGAGTATCGAAACGTGATCGAAGGTGACCGATCCAACTTGTTCAGGTACGCGAAAAGGGGAGACCACACGGGTAAATCGAAACTCAAGTTGAGAAAAACATCACTTACCAACGTTAGGAATACTTTTTGTTGAACCTGGCAGGAAAACGACTTTAAATTGAAGTAAAAAGAAGCGTCTTCTTGTAAAGATGCATGCTTTACAGTTCGTCTTCTTTGACTTGAAAGTGCCCGCGTGGAATCAGCCAATTTTCACACCTTTTCATTGGTTGAAAAGGCCCATGTGACGATAAAACGCTGAATACGCATGTGTTGAACTCACGGGCTTCCCTGGGAACTAGTGGAAACAAAATGGCTGACAAACACCGAGGACTGCAGCTAGCGTTTCGCAGTTTTGACCATGAATTTCTATTCAGGAGTCGTCCATAATCAAGACGAAGGATCGAAGCTAATATAAAAGAAGAAAATGATGCATGGAGGTATCATTTCAAGTGAAGAAACTCTAGGGAAAAGCTAGAAAGGAAAGTCAAGTCAGGAATGATGGATGTAGCGATTCATTAATGCTTTACAAAAAATCTTCTCACTAAGAAACTATCTGCAAGCACAAAAAAATTGTAGTAAATGATTTTTAAGTTTTTTAGTTTTAAACACTGCTTTTTACGTTGGAAGTATGCTTTTTGTGTGTTTGTATAAAATAAATATTGTTTTGTTGAAAGTCATTTTTACATGTATGTACAGGACAATTTATGAACGATGGTGTCATTTTCTGCTTATAAAAAAATTTGTAATTTAATACAATAAGTTGTCCTTTGAAATTAAATTGGGTACAGGAAGACGATAAATTCCAGCCGTATTTTTAACTCCACATGCAGAAATGTAGAATAATAAGTTAATTAGACTGCTTGCTAAGATATGTTTAACACATAATTATATATAACCTACATGGCTGTTAAAAGTCGTCTTAATTAAGTTTGACTTAACTTTTGCAAGTATGAATAAATCTTCTAAAATCCCAGGTGGGATCATACATGTGAAATTATCCCAATGTTCCCAGGTGGGATGTATGTAAAGATCCTGGGTGACAATGTGTGATCCCAGGTGGGATATGTGAATCCCACCCAGGATCCCGGGTGGGATGTGTGAATCCCACCCAGGATCCCAGGTGGGATGTGATAATCCCGTGTTTTAGGCGGGATCCCAGGTGGGATTAATTTTTAATCCCAGGTGGGAATGGCGGGATCCCGCCATTAGAGGCGGGATCCCGCTAATCCCACCCGGGATCCCAGGTGGGATTAGCGGGATCCCGCCTGACTTTTTACCTGGGAAGGAAGTGGAAACATTATTTTTACTTGTGGTACGTAAATGCTTACAGTAGTCTATTATTTTGTGCACTTGATATGGGGTGTGCTGAAGTATAAGCTGTTCACATAATTATATGCCAGAATTGAAACCCATCCCTAATCTTAAAAGAAGAGCCAAAGGACCTTTTAGCATTGCAGCTGGATCTCAAAGGTGAAAACCATACCTCAAGATCTCACTGATCCTTAAGAGAATTATGGGGACTGGTAAAAAAGCCCATGACAGACACCGCCTCGGTTACAATAAACAGGGTCAATAAAGGAATGAAAGGTATCAAATCACAGAATGTAGTCCCTGCACGATTTTTGCTCTGTAAAAGGTTGGTAATGGCGAGAAAAGGTAGAAAATTCTTCGGCTGGTGTTTTTGTAAGTTCTTAATCTCACCGAGACTGGTCGGTTGTACCAGATCAGTATTGATTTTATGCCGTGGATTTTTTTCCACACAAATGGGGAGAAAATCGCAATGTCTAAGTTTTTTCCGGCTGCCTAATCTGCACACACTGCTAATTACCAGCCCAGATGATACCTTCTAATGGCTAAGACAGAGACTTAAGATTAAACCATTTCATGCCAGAAATCAATCTTTTCTCAGTGTAATGATTCCATTCATCTTCAGTCAAAAGCCTAGAGGACTAGACATCCTACTAGTACATTCACTGTATTAGTGTTATTTTTTGTAATTGAAACCATTCCTTCAAGAAGGAAGTTGGATTCAAGTTTTGCTTGCGCAAATAAAGGCGAGTTGTTCACAGTCAGAAATAGGTTGCTCCAGCTTTTAAAGTGCAGTATAAAAGAAGTTTTATTGTATTCATTTTATCCACACAGCAACTGTGTACACTGCTAGAGACTTTGCAGAAGAAACCAGTGCCACCCTCCAGTTAGCCATGACAAGGTTAAGACAGGTTGGAAATGGGCCAGTGTTTTGCTGTACTAGTTGAGGAGTCAAACACAGTAGATAGCCCTTAAATATACGTGGCTAGCCAAATTCACTCCTTAATCCTCTTGGATGGAGATGTACATGTATCACTTCCTGCAGCACAAGAATTTTGGGGGTGGCTTCTTCTGACTGGAGTTGGGTTAGACAGTCAATGGGTAGAAAAGCAACACTGCCTCGTCCCGGTCACCATGGTCACCTTCAAAAAACAAAGGCGGATGCCATCATTTCAACAAAAGCTAGAGATCCATTCACCAGGCATTCATGAAGTAATGGTAAGGTAAGCAAGTGCAGTAGAGAAACTTTGTTTACACTTAACATTCACCTTGTGCACAATTTATGAAACTCAGCTCGTTCTGAGCAGGAAGCAGGAATATTGCACATCTGTTATAACTGCCAAAGACTTTTCTAAATTGACTGTCTTGATAATTTTTGCCGGTAACACATAGATATACCATAAACGTGCGGTTGCAAAATTGTGCTTCAATTTTCAGTTCCAGCCTCTCTCTTTATCAGCTAGCCTGTGTGCAGTACCCCCCCCCGCTTCCCCTCCCTTCTCCGATTTTTCCTGCAGGGAGGGAGGGGGTCTGTATACAGGCTATTTATTAGCATAAAATTGGCTGTGTAGGTGGTTTGGGGGCGTGGCAGGGGGTGTTGTAGCTCAAAACGAAATTTCTTTTAATTTTTTTCACATTTTGTCTTTCAGCCTGCCCTGGTTCCAGATCAGATGGGATCAAGTTGCCACTAAACTATTTACGGTCAAATTCAGTCAAGACTGCCATTTGAAAAATAAAATAAACAAATGGGAAGTTTTGTGCCATTTTCATCCATAAGAATTACTTTGTACAGTATCACTTTCAGCCAGGATTGAATTAATTGAACCACAGGGTTAGTTAAGTTTGACAATGCTACATGCAAGTACCGTAATTGTCAACGTAATAGAGTTTGCTGGAACGATGAGGAAAAAGGGAAATTCTTATCAGGAATAACACAAAAAGTTGCGCTATTTTCTCCTCTTGTGGGGATTAACTGATCCACTGGGATCGATAGCAGTATTAAGTTTGACACTAACTTGTCTTTTCAATAAAGTGACCATATTGGAAAATAATAATAATCAAAGAAGGGTTTACTATTGCAGCCTCCTTTTCCTTAACACCTCTCCTTACAAAATATACAGTATACAGTACATGGATCTCCAATAAATTTATGTATTATAACAAGTGCTGTATAAGAAGGAGAGAAGCCCGGTTTAAATAAGGGCCTTTCTCTCACCCCCTCCCGCCCTTCATTCTCCAGAAATTCACAAAAAATAAATAAGTGCTCCACTAGCCTGTTCCAGGCGTTCAGACAGTAGAGCGTGTTAACTGACTCCCCACCATTTGAACACTGTACTCTACTATCTGAACACCTGGAACAGGCTAGTGCTCCGAGCTCTGGGTTTATCCATAGCCATGATCAGACCGCAAGTGCATTCATTGGAAGATATGGCCGAATTATAATATCATATTAAAAGATGTCAGGACAATGGTATGATCTATTTAAGCCAACAGACAGTTACATTTCTAAGGAAGATGCAAATATACACCGACCAAGGATTCGCTACTTAGAGACCAGACATTGTCATCTAAGATCACGAAAACATGACCTGCAAACTACGTTGCAAAGCGTTTAGACAAGACCACCTCTGTTAAGGTCACTGAAAAACTCTCAGAATACGAAGACCTAGAAACTGAAGTCAATACCTTAGGACTAAGGGTTAGTCTCAGTCTTTGTGAAGCTCTTCTTAAGGAAAGCACAATGCAAAGGCTCAGATGTTGATGATAGTAATAATGACAATAATAAAAATAATAACGACAACAACAACAATAAATCAAGAACTGCAGAGCCCTCATCAGGGATGTGAAATATGGTGTCTTTTTCAATTGTGGCGATTGCAATTCTAACGACGACAAAAACTTACGATAATTACGTGTGCTTTCGTGGAACAATCGATCTGACTTTTTCACGTGTAGATTACTTTCCCTGGGTAGCAGTGGGTGCGGACGACAGCTAAAAATAGCCACGTCTCTGGGTACAAATACTCACCCGTCCCAGTACTTCTCGTCTCTCTCAGCGCAGCCATGCCAGAACTACTGACTTTGCTGTCCTTCAGCAATAAAACAACGATTTTCACTGACCTGAAACCCCTTCCATCGCGTAATAATAATAATAATTTACCAATTTATATAGCGCGTATTTACATGTGCTGATCAATAGCGCTTTACAATCATATGTTTACAAGAAAACGAAAATACATTACCGTGAGAATAAAATAAACTAAGTTACAAACTATAAAAATACTTCTTAAAAAGATAGGTTTTAAGTCGAGATTTAAAACTGTTAAGTGATGTTGCCTGACGAAGCTCCACAGGTAGCTCATTCCAGAGTTTCGGAGCTGCTGCTGAGAATGATCTTGCTCCCAGTGTTGTAAGCATCTTTCCCTTGGGATGGTCCAATAAGAGCTTACCAGTAGACCTAAGATTATATAATGAATTCGATTTGATACTAATAAGATCGCTAAGATAAGTTGGCGCTAGGCCATAAATACATTTGAAAGTCAAAAGTAAAATCTTATAGTCAATACGCAAAGAAACCGGCAGCCAGTGCAGCTCATAAAGCGCCGGTGTAATGTGAGAAAACTTTCCAATGCCAAGAATAAGTCTTGCTGCTGCATTTTGTACACGCTGTAATTTAGCGATCTGCACATTTGGTAAGCCAAACAATAAACCATTACAATAGTCAAGACGGCTGGTTATAAAAGCATGAACCAAAGTAATTAAAGAATCTCTCGACAGGTATTTCTTAATACGTCTCAAGTTATGTAAATGATAAAATGCCGCATTACAAGCCTTGTTTATATGATCAGTCATGCTTAAGTTGCTGTCAAACCACGATCCAAGGTTTCTAACACATGGGCTTGGACTGATACGATTATTTCCCACAGTTATGGAACACGAATCTAATTTATCAAGCTGTTGTCGTGTGCCGACTAACAAAAACTCCGTTTTATCATCATTGATCATCAACCGATCTTGAATCATCCATTTCCTCACCGCGTCAATGCACTTTTCCATAGCTTGTATAGCATCAGCTTGAGCAGTGTTGCCGAGTGGTTTAAAACTCAGATACAGCTGCGTATCATCAGCGAAACAGTGAGCATCGGGAAGATAATGTTCCACGATCTTAAACAGCTTGGACGCATATATTATGAATAGCAAAGGCCCTAAACATGAGCCTTGGGGTACCCCGCAGTTCAAGTCAAAAGGACGAGAAAGAACTCCATGTACAGAAACGCGCTGACTTCTATCAGACAAGTACGATCTAAACCAATTCAGAGCAGTCCCACGTATGCCAACCTCGTCAGATAGCCTCTCTCTGATGATCAACAGTGTCAAAGGCAGCACTCAGATCCAATAAAATTAACATAGTGACATGTTGAGAGTTCATCTTTAACAAAAGATCGTTCATCACCTTGATAAGTGCAGTTTCAGTGCTATGAAATCGTCTGTAAGAAGATTGAAGCGCAGGAAAAATAGCATTTGAAACCATGTGGTCGTAAACTTGATTAAAAACGACTTTTTCAGTCAACTTGGATACGTATTGTAAGTTACTAACTGGTCTGTAATTTTTGTACAGCAAATCCAATCCAGGTTTCTTCAAGATAGGATTAATAAGCCCACATTTCCAATCATCCGCAAATTCTCCAGAATTAAGAGACAGGTTGATCATTTTAGTAATGACTGGTAATAGCACATCAGCACAGCTGATTACCATAGATGTTGACATCGGATCAAACATACAGCTTTTCTTCGGAGAGCAGCCAATCAACTTACTAACAGCACTTTCAGTTAAAGGGATAAACCTGTCCAGAGTTCTAGTTGGTAACGTTTTCACATAGTCAAAATGAGAATCATGCAAACAATCGGCTAGTCTGTCCAGTTTGACATGGATGGCGTCAATCTTTTCAACAAAGAATCTACCCATTTCATTGGCTAAAACCAGCTTGTCACTAGTTGGTGGAAAAGGTACTTCATGACCTTGATTTAGCAACCTCTTTGTTGCCGAGAATAGGTTCCTTTGATTGGAGTTATTTTCAACAATAAAGTCTGAGTAAAACTTACGACGGGCTTCATTCATCAGATAGGTTGTAAAGTTCCTGTTCTTTTTAAATTCAAGCAAATCATTGACACTTCGAGATCGACGCCATTTTCTTTCAGCTCTCCGTCTTTCCCTCCTTGACTCCCTAATATTTTCACTAAACCAAGGTACCAAAGGCCTCACTGTGATAAACTTAGTGACAAGTGGAGCATGACGATCAAGAGCCGCAGATAATGTAAAATTATAACATTTAACAAGATCATTCAGAGCATCAGGGCTGTCTGTACAAAGCGAAGTTTATGTTCCATATTTATATATGCACAGTTTTTCTCTCTTGCAAAATTCACCCCCTCCGAGAAATAAGCCTTCAAAAAAAGCTTACTCTCTGCCTCAAAGCGAGGCGCGCTAAAATAACCAGTCACGCGATCTACCATACTCTCCAATCTTAAAACGGCTGCAAGCGCAAAACCTAACTAGTTAATCCCCCTCTGTAAAAGAAAAAATAAACGATTTTTCAGTCGTTTTTTGTGCCAGTTCTAAACTTTGCACGAGCAGTGGAACGGTGGCGTCTCCCTTTTTACGTAACAGTAATGCGCGTTTTTGTACAACTTGAAGTAGAACTGAAGATTCGAACAAAGCTTGTCGCTCCTGCTTGTCGATAGTTTTTTTTTTTTTAAATGGCTTATGCTGCAGCTTCTAACAGTGAGGCACAATCAGCTCCCGACCTATCCCGATTTTTGTATGACTTTGACGTGGACAATCAATGGAGCCATTTCCGTCATGGACCACCAACAGCCTCCTCGGTTGAACGGGGAAGAAGAAAAACTAGATTCAAAATGGATAAAAGGTACTCTTCAAGGAAGCAAA